GATCGCTTTTACCAAACTTCAAGGCCAAGCCCCAGTGGGATTTGCAGGAGGCTCTGAATGCTGGAGCAGGTCTAGGAGGTCCGTGGTGAGGAAGGCCAGCCTCCTGGGCAGGAGAAGGCTGAAAGGAGAAAGAGGCCCAGGACCTCCAAAGGATGCTTCTAGGCCCCACAGGGGGCTGGCTCCATCTGGGAGTCTGGAAGTGCCTGGAAGCATGGGAAATGAGTACCTCCCTCTAGAGGCTTGCAAAGAAGTGACATCTGATTGTAACAACAGATCCTGCCACACACACACAATGGATCCCTATCACCAGTTCTTAACCTGGGAGCAACCCCCCTGGAACTCTTAAGGATGCATCCCTCATTCAACAAGCTTTTTAGTGCCAGCTCTTTGAACACAGTCCCGAATGTGCATACACTCATTGTCCGGCTCTCATCAGCTTCGCAAAAAGGCTCTGCAACCACCCCACAAAGAAGACCTTTAGAAGTCCTGCTTGCTGCAGCGAGGGGTTGCATCTGACAGAACAAGGAGCTGGTGGGGTTGGGTACAGGACTGCTCATGCTTTTGCTTGTTCAGCATCCACTCGCTGCTTGGACAGCAGAACCCCAGCTTCCTTTAGGAAATACAATAACATCTTTGGAGGGAAGTGATTGTTAACTGTCACTCAAGAAACTGAACACCTTAACAAGAAATCGTACTCATTGGTGTGGAAAAACAGCTGTAGGTAGTAACTGTACGTAACTATAAAAACGTGCTAGACTTGGAGTTGGGAAGCCTGGGTTGAGCTGTGGCTGTTATTTAAGCATAGAGCTTTTAGAATGTTATCCTTAGACTTCTAATTCAGAGGGCTAACCACATCCTGCAGAATAGAGAAGCACCTCCAAGACCATGCCACGGTTTGTATCCTATGATTTTTCCTTATCGGAAACTGTACCCCCTGGCCAGCCTCAATTCCCCATCATCCCCTGTCCACCATCTCCTGTCTTTCCCCTTACCTTCTCTGACACTCTAGAAATTGCTCCTAAAATCCTGGATCATTCTGTGTCCCCCCCCCCCCCGCCATGCCCACTTTTCTCCTTACCCTGTCTGGATGCGGGGAGTGTCATCATGACCCATCCTTTGCCTAAAGCTTGGCTCCTTAGCCTGCTTTCATTTTATCTCATTTGCCTGGCAAATCCTCAGTCCCAGTTAAACCCTCTCTCCATTTCCTCCCCAACTGTACTACAGTGGCTGGAAAACAAAAGCAGTCACTCCGGATGGCTATGGCCCTTCCTCTCCAAGGGAGGACCAAGTGCTCCCTTGCGAGCCTGTTACATTGCTGGCCTGGCCTTTCTCCAGCGTCTGGGTTGTTAAATTCACACCTTTTCTTCTTGCCTCCATTCTCGGTACCCCCGAGAAGAAAGTACCCTTTCAGTACTTTCCATTTTTCACTCTCAACTGAGGATAGTCTGGAAAAACAGAAACCATCATTAGAAAATATCCTCAGGCTCCCACCACAGACCTAATGTATTCGACTTGTTCAGGCCATCTTTCTCCAGTGCTTTAGAGGGACTCTGTCACTCTGTTCAAGGCCAGCCCCTCGCACCTGATCCCACCCTATGCTTCCTCAAGGACTTCACCCTCCTGTCCTTTTTCCTTTCTTCTTCATCATCGAGTTCCTGTCATACCTGGATTACTCTGACCAGCTGGTCTAACAGTTTAGCCTTAAAAAGAAGGTCCCACCTCAAGCTGTCACCCTTCCCCAGTGTTACCTACTGCTCTACACTTTCCATAGCAGACTTCCCTGGAGGCAGGTTCCCCACTTCCTCTGCCTGTATACTCATGCAGTCTTTTAATCAGGTATTTGTCCCCTGAGTATCAGTGAAACTGCTCTCATCAAGGTTACACTGACTTCCGTTCTGGCAGTTTCCATGGCCAACTGTTAGTCTCTATCTTATTTGACCTGCCTACAGCACTCCTGGAGTCATTGCCCTTGAAATGCTTTCTTCTCTGTCAAGGCATGGCCCCATATTGTTGCCTCTGACCACACTGGTCACACCCCTTCCTCCTTTCCTGCTTCTCCTCCTCACCCTGACCTCTACTCCTGGCATATCCCAGAGCTCCTCTCTCTTTTATCTTCTCCTTTGGGATCTTATCCACATGCCTGACTTTAGACATCATCTACACGTTGTTCAGCCTCAAATGTGTGTCTGAGAACCTGCAGCATCCAGGTATCACGTTTGTCTGCTTAGTGTGCTACTCACGTGTCTCACATGCATCCAATGTGTCCAAAACTGAGGTCCTTATTTCCCTTCCTATCCTGTGTCTCTACAGTCTTCTCACTTTAATAAATGACAGATCCAATCACCCTGTTGCTCAGGCCAAATTTTTTTCTTTCTTTTCCTGGAAACCTACAACCAACTGGCACATCTTGTTGCTTCACTTTCAACATGTATTTGTAATCTGAGCATTTTTCTCCACCTTTACTTGACTTCCCTGTGGAAGTTAACTCCTCTTCCCCAGATTTTGCAACAGTCTCCTAACTGGCTTACCTACCTCTTCTTGTCAAACCAGCAATGGATGATGACGTCTCACAGGAGCAAGGAACTGACACATTCCTGATTGTCTTGGTTTCTCATTGTTGACAACTGTAATAAGAAAAGGCTTATAGGTTCAGTTTCAGTGCATAGTCAGCTGGCTCTAGGGCAGGGTGGCATGGCAGAGGGGCACGGCAGAGGAGAAACAGCTCATGATGTGGCAGGAGGAAGCAGAGAGAGAGATTGGGGGTAGAGGGAGACAGACCCTTCTGAGCCACACCTCCAGTGGCCTACCTCCTACCAGGCTTTACCTCCCAGCATTGCATTTAGCTATAAACCCTTCAGTGCACTAATCCTTGGATGGGCATCACGCCCCCGTGACCCAGTCACCTCCAACTGTGCACAGCCCATTGCAGGGCTGCTGGAGCTGCAAGGAAGACTGCAAAGGTCATTCACTGCATCAGAGTTTCTGACTGCACAGCCAGAGGGTGTTGCTATCCAGCCTATTCTCCGCTCTCCATTCCATGAAGGGTCCAGCAGGATGATTTATGCAGTATGGGCTGGCTATGATTCTGTTGTGGGCATTCAGTAAACAGTCCTCAAATAAAGGACCGAGTGATGGACATGCGGACCCTTGTTTATTTTCTTCTCTGGGACTTCATGCCAAATGCCTTCTCACAGTCTTGTTTTCTTCATCTGTTAAGGACAAAATTAACATCTATTTCATAGTGTGGTTATGAGGCTCAAATGAAATAGTTCATTAAAAAGTTGGCACAGATATGATTACATTTATATAAAATATCCAGGCCAGCCAAATCCATGGAGACTGAAAGCTGATAAGCGTTGCTGGAGGCTGGAGGGGTAAGGGCTCTCTTTAAGAGTGAGGAAAGTGATTCAGAGCTAGAGTGATGCTCACACACTGTTACAACTATTTAGTGATATGCTAAATGCAACCATTTAGTGATATGCTAAATGCTTCTAAATTACATGCTTGAACATGGCTAAGAGGGTGAATTTTATGTCAGGTGAACTAGATCATGCTACATGAATACCTCCAAAATAAAATTCAGTGTTCAACGTTTCAAGTTGAATCTTATGATTTCCTTGTTTATGAAGTCCACTGAAGGCTTCCTAGGAGCCTTCTTGCCCTACAGAGAATGGTTTCACTTTCTTCACATTCATTATTTAGAAGTAGTATATATTGTCACCGTTTATAATAGTGAGGATATGAAAAGACAGATGAAGAGCCTCTGTTCAGGGTTCCAGACTTGTGACAGACACAAAGAGTAAATAAATAAATAAATAAATACACATAGTACTATGTGGGCGGGGCGGTGAGGGGGAGTTCAGTCCACAAGGGCAGACAGGAGGGCTCATCATCCACACTAGGGACGAAGGGGCCTGGCAATGGGTTGGAAGGCACAGGAGGTGCAGGTTGGAGGAAGTAGGGACCCTAGGAGAAGGGGAACAGAGCAAGCAAAGCCTGGGAACACCACACATTCTAGGAATAGGAAATAGCTGGAGTTTTTGTGAGGCTGGAGCCTAGTGCAAAAGTGTGGCAGGCAAGACACGGATAAGGAGAGAGGGAGGAAGGGGCTGTTGTTGGGGAGTTAGGGCTCCACCCTAGGACATTCCAGGCCCTGCAGGAATTGGCCCTCACTGTCCAGCACTTAGCCCTGTTAAACAAGGCTCATAGGATTGAGAGATCTTCGGAGGAGAAGGGTTAATGGGACCATTATAGATAGAGTTCTATCTAAAAAGGATTTGTCTTGGGACAAGGTGCTGTACCAACACCCCACCTCCAACCCAAAACCCCAGCCCATGGGTCCCAGGAAGGGCAGGTAGCTGCTAGAAAAATGTAAAACACCATAGTGGCCCACAGCTGTCACCCAAGTGCTTGGGAACCTGAGGCAGGAGGATCCCGTGAGTTGGAGGCCAGCTTGCTCTACATAGTGAGAAATAAAACCCCAGAGTACTTATTTTTATAAGGCCAGTTTAGGCGCAGATGATGTACATTACACCCACACAGAGAAGCAGGCACTGCCTCTGGATTACTTGAGGCTATGAGAGGGTGCTCTGGGGCCTACGGTTTTAACAACACATTCCAGAAGGTTAAAAAAAAAAAAAAAAAAAAAGACTTCTGTTCTGGGGGACCTGTAGCTTGTTACTGATAAATTTCCATCTCTCTTCCCTTCCACCTGCCTCTGTAATTAATCGAGGATATCTCTGAGATTTTTCCCTTATCATTTTACCCCTTTTGCAACTCACCCCTTTGTAGCCCTCGATCCAGCAGTGCCCTGTGGCGCCCTGCGGGCCCTGACAGTCCTTCATCCTTCCTGCTGGAGATTAAGTTTACTAAGAGGCTGCTCCGCGTCAGGAATGGTGCTGGTTCCCGGAAACCAGAGGCTCCTGGAAGACTTCCAGGTAAATGGGGAAGACAACCTAGAGAGAAATCAGTATGAGAAAGGGACAGAAACGCTGCCTTACAAAAGGTGCTGCAGGAGGCCCGGGATGTAGCTCAGTGGCTCAGCGCCAGCCTGGAAAAATCTCAGGATCCTGGGAGGCCCTGAGTTTGATTCCAGGTATAGGGGAGGGAGTAGGGGGAGGCAACATGCTTTCTAAACTGGTTCCTGAAGGACATAGAGGCAGCAGGCCAAGGAAGAGGAGCAAAGCCCAAGGGAACCAGAGAGCACCTGGGGTCCGCAGTCTGCTGGTCGGGCCCTGGGGGCATTGAGATCCAGATGAAGGTTTGACCCTCTGTCTGGACAATTATGCATAAGCACGTGTTTACAGGGAATTTTGGCGTGTCCCTCGTCCCTCTGGCTTTGGGAAGCAGGCTCCTCCCTCCTCTCCCGGGGCGCCGGTCTGCGCCTGTTTCACTGCCTCCCGGGCACGCAGGTCTCCAAGCTTTAACTCTGGACTTTGCACCGTCACCGGAAATCTATTTGTTTATCAGGGCCTCCAGCCGGACCAGCTGCCCGCTGAGGTCTGCCCTTTCTAGGGCCCTCTGAACCCCCTGCTGGGTCCCAGCTGGGCCGGCCCCCCTTTGGGTTGCTGTGGCGGGGGGCGCAGAAGCCGCTTTCGCTAGACAGCCTGCCCCGCCCGCCCCACGGCTTCCGCCCCGCCCTCGGCCTTCCCACCTGTTCAGGTGTTGCAGACCCAGCCGGAAGCCACCTCCGCACGCTGTGCACAGTTCCTGAAGGTGGGAGCAGAGGGGTAAGACACTAGGGGTGTGATAGAGGGCGCGCAGGCTCTCCTCGGATTCTCAGGAGCCCCACGGAAACTCCAGATCTGGGTGGGGCTGTGCTTGTGTGACCTGAAGCTTGGTGGGGGTGGGAGGGTGGGACAGTGTGGGCTGTGAGTTCAGAGGCTTTTCTGAGAAGTGTGTCTGTGCCCTTGGAAGACCAAGCGTGTGTGTGTGTGTGTGTGTGTGTGTGTGTGTGTGTGTGTTTGTCTTGGGGAAGATTCTGAGACTGGGTGGGGAGGAAAGGAACAGGAGTAGAAGCTTAGCAAAGTCAAATTGAATTCAGTTCATTTCGGTGTGACAGTCTCATGTTTAAAGGACTTGGTGCCCAGGGAGAAGTCCACCGTGGCAATACAGGAATGCCTGAGAATGAAAGAGCCCTTCCCCCGCAGGTCCGCGCTCACTTTCCCTCTCTCCTTCAGCTCCTAACCTGTGCTGAGCACCTGAGGTCACCGCCCACCCCAGGACACCGCCAGTGAGCCCAGCCCTCGTCCTCAGGGAGCTGCCTTTCTGGTAATGGCTTGTTCTGCCCCGGGCTGTGCCAGACAGAGCAGGGGTCAGCCAAAGAGGTCCTAGGGCAACCCAAGGGTATGTGTGTGTCTGATTTGGTGCTGAGGGATGGAGCCAGAGGGCAGGTGAGTTGGGGGGAGGGGGAACTTTAGAAAAGGAAGAAGAGTTGGGTCTGAGGGATTTCCAGGCGTGGAAGGAGGAGCTACGAATTCATAGACACCCAAGGGTGGCTTGGGAAGCTTTCTTTTCTTTTTTGAGTGCTGTACTGGGGACTGAACACGGGCCCTTCCTACTGAGCTGTATCCCAGCCCTTTTTATTTTGAGACAAGGTCTCTTGAAGTCGCTAAATTGCAGGCTTCCTGTCTCAGCCTCCTGGAGTGTTGGGATTATAGGTACGTACCACCACGCAGGACTTCTGGAAGGATTTTAAAATAGGTGCTAGGGTCCCTGTTGGCTCTGGTAGCGGACTAAGGTCAGTGTGCTAGGATCCCTGTTGGCTCTGGTAGCGGACTAAGGTCAGTGTCAGATGGAGGTGATAGGCAGAGCAGGCACAGTGCTTGCAGCAGAGGGGAGCATCATTTGAGATGATTAGAGAAAGGAATGAAGACATCATTCAGGAATCTGTAATAAATGACAGCACTTCCTGTACTGGGCGCTTCTCTAGGCACCTCCTAGCCTGGCCATGGTGCCCTGGCACTCTGGCTCAGCAGCTTCACCTCTGGACAGTGCCCAGCCCTAGCTGTCCCTCCTCCAGGTACTCAGACTTTTTTGGTGATTCATGCCTTGGTTAGGATGTGCGTTCCCAGGTGTCCAGTCCCAGGTGATTGTCAGTGGGCCATTGCCTGATTCAGGTGGACCTGGTCAGAGTAGTCCCAGGTGTCTGCTTCTCCAGGGGAAGATTTGAACCCCAGATTCTGACACTAGAATCCAGTGCTACATTGCTGGGGAGGAGGTATGAGTTGACAGGCAGTAAGGCCAGAGGCAGATCCTAGTTCCTCGCAGCAGTTAATTCATGGGAGGAGGTGCAAATTTCCCTCATCTCCCACTCCTAGGAGTGGGCCCCAAACAACTAAGGCAACTCTGCCCCTCTGCTCAGGAGTTGGGATCCATAGCCACCACTCTCAAACACCAGCCCTGACACTGGGCATGGTGGCACACCCCTGTGATTGGGAAGCTAAGGCAGGAGGATCATTGTGAGTTCGAGACTAGCCTGAACTACAAAGTGAACACAAGGCCATCCAGCACTGCATAAGGAGACTCTCCAGAAAAACAAAACCAAAACCAAAAAATCCACAAGCCCTTGGAGCAAACCCCTCGCCACTCACCTCCCCACAGGGGGGCCACACTTCAGCATTTGCTGGAGTCAGTTCACCTTTCTGAACCTTAGCACCCTCATCTATGAGGAAGTGTTTCTGCCTACACGGTGTTGTTTTCTGAGCCTGTTTGACTAAGTTGTGAGGAGTACTGATCAAGTCCTAAAATTAATTTATGTTTTAGCAGCTTCTAGAGTAGACTCCTCAACTGCCCCTTATAAATAAATGCATACCTCAACATGTTTGCCATCTGTGGTCAAGTGCCCCCGCCTTGGTGCTGGACCCTGACATGGCTGTGTGTGTGTGCTCTGGAATGTTTACCCTCTTCCTGTCCCTGACACCCATGCTTCTATTTTCCAGGACGCATTCTTTGGGTCTGCCTAGCCTCTGGGGGTCTTCCTGGAGCCAGGACTCCTTTCTGGCAGACACTGAGGCCAAGGCTCACTGATGTCAGGCTCCCTTCTGAGTGAGGCAAACCAGAGTGAGTGAAGGGGAATGGGTGGCTGAGGAGGGGATGGAGGGGATGGACTCCCCTAGCTGCTAGGATTGGGGGAAGTACCATGCCCACAGTCTCTGGGGCCAAGTGTGATGTTGTCCCTTTCTCTGCAGCCCGTGTAGGGCCCTCAGAGCTCCCCACAGCCTCAGCCATGGCCCCTACACCAGGCACTGCGGGCCGGGCGTGGCCTGTGCTGGTCGGGGTTGTGCTGGGGGCTGTGGTCCTCTCTGTCATCATTGCACTTGCTGCCAAATGTCACCTCTGCCGCCAGTACCGCGCCAGCTTCCAGCACCGCCAACTGTCTAGGACTGGGAGTGTGAGCCACCCCGAGATGGGTGAAGAGGATGATGATGGCTTCATCGAGGATAACTACATTCAGCCTGGGGCCGGGGAGCTGGAGACAGAGCGCAGCGGGGATCACTTCCCACTCTGAGGCCTAATCGTCGGACACTTGCCTTTCCCTCCATGCCTAACAGTATAAGGACAGAGGATGCCATGCTTGAACCTCAAACCTCAGGGACAAAGGTGGCTGGGGCTTAAAGGCAGACCAGGGCAGAGCCATCCCCCATTCCTGACGCTAGCGACCAAAGAGAGCATGACTTGCTGATTCCTGATGCTCAGTGGCTCCCTCCTGTTCCCAGGAAAACCTAACAATGATATGAATATGAGAAGAAAAGCCACCTGTGATCACGTCTTTGTTGGCCTTCTAAGTTTCCTTCCTTTTTGCCTTTTTGTTGTTGTTTTTGGCCTTGACTTGCTGTTGTTTTCCCTCCCTCACCATGCATCACCTTGTTCTCCTTTCTTAGGCTGCCTTGTCCTTCACTCAACTCCCCTCTGCCAGTGATGAAAACTGTCCATGGTCCCCATGGCCTGCTTACCTGCAGGTCTTTATATGTGCCTGGGTGACAGGAAGAAATCGGTGCCAAGTTTCTTGAAATTACTTCTTATGAATAAAGTCTGTGATCTAGTTATGTTTTTCATATAGGAATTAATAAATCTATTTTCATTTTGAATGAAAATTCATCATTCATTTGTATTTTTCTAAACTGGAATGCATCGTTCATAGTGAAACACACTGCCCAGACTTCCCTCCCCCAGGGAACCCCTGAGCTTCTCCCTTAGCCTCACCCTGAACTTCTCTAGGTTGTCCAGGTCTATTTTATTTGAATCAGGACAAGTGGCCCCTGCCACCCCGTGCCAGTGCCTGCAGCTAGACTGAGATCTCTGAGATGGCAGGCTGAGTCCTACTCTGTGTTCCCAGATCCTTGCACAAGGAGGATGTAAGACTCATATATTCAGTTAGCCCTGCATATCCATGGGCTCTTCATTCTTGAGTTTGGGCTGACCATAGGTCAAAAACAGCTTAGAAAATAAAATTCCCAAAAAGCAAAACTTGAATCTGCTATATACCAAGTACTATGCTGAATCCACATGAAGGAAAGGACATGTAGGCATGCATTAGGCACCGTAAGGAATGTAGAGTTGGTTTACAGTATACAGGAGAACGTGAATAGTTTATATGCAAATACTACACTTTTATATAAGGAACTTGGGTACCTGTGAAAGGAACTTGGGTTCATTTTATATAAGGAAGTTGGGTATCTGAAGGGTCCTGTAACCAATCCCTTGCCATACAGACTCCTGAAGGGTAGTTGTGTTTGTTGAATGACTGGACTCAGAGGAATAGGTAGGGGGCAAGGAAGTAGAGACACATGTGGAAGGTATTACCAAGGGAGGAGGAGAATGGGGTTATGATTGAGCAAGGGGCAGGAGGTTTGTGTTTTTTCCTTTTTTTTTTTTTTTTTGGTACCAGAGTTCAAACTCAGGACCTTGCATTTGCCAGGCAAGCACTTACTCAACTGAGCTATCTCCCTGGCCCTGGGTTTGTGTTTTTGAGACAGTGTCTTGCTGTGCAGTTCGGGCTGGCCTTGAGCTCACTTTTGGGAGATACAAAGCAAGTGGTTCCATGGGCTAGAGGTCAGGATTGTACCTCAAGCTCTGTCACTTAGGGGCATTGGTGAGACTCTCTCAAAACCCTGGGTTCCAATGTCAAGTACTCAGGGAAGGGGATCTGCTTTGTCCAATTTGAGTCAAGCACCCACCAGTGGCCCAATCAGCTGGGATGGTCATGGTCCTGCGTCACATAGGTGGTTCGGGGAAGCCACTGTGTGCTCCGGCTCACTCCCAAAGAAGGGCAGTTCTCACGAGCCAGGTAGTGACCCATCTGTGAGTCCATGGGATGCAGGGTTGAGGAAGAGCCAGTGAGAAGGAAAGTGAGGGGCGGTTGACCCAAGGAGGGGCACGAGAAAGAGGCAGGAGGCTCCGGAGGACTGGAGCATAGTATCTGGAAGGTGCCCACAGCAGTGATGAAGCTGAGGGAACCAGATTGGTTTAGGGCCGCAGAAGCCCAGACGCAGAGCTCACACTGCAGCCTGAGAGCAACTGAGGCTTGTCTGTGGAACTGTTTTTGCAAGGAAGTGATGTACCTATGCTAGAAAATTCATTCCGGCTGCTGTGCAGAGATGGCCTGGAGAGTGAGCTGGAGAGATAGGTGGAAAGATGTGACTGAGTGTAGCACAAGGACAGACTGGGGATGGCAGGAAGCAGACGTTAACAGAACTTGTTGACTTTGGATGTGGGGACACTGCCTCAGCTTCTGGCTCAGCAGCTCGATACAGCAAAGAAGAGCAGGCTGGGCGAATGGAGATACAGTGTTGGTTGTGGGGTTTCTGGGGAGATCCCAAGGCCTGCTGGTTCTCCGATGCACAGAGAAGCACAGTCTGAGGTCATGGGTTTGGGGATACTCAGTAGTGTGGTCACAGTGAAGAGCAGGAGGGGCAGAGTGAGAGGAGGTGCTGAGGATGGGTAGCGACTGACCTTGGAGAAGGACCTGGCAGGAGAGACCGGGAGGAAGCAGCTGCTCAAGCAGCCCAACTCAGTAACTGTTTCTGAGCCCAGAGATGGCCTGTCTGTGAAGGCCTGGGAAAAGAAGAGGCTGCCCCAGCCTGAGAGCTGGAGGAGAATCCCGGGCAGCAGGCTGTGGGGCTGAAGGCTCGCTCAGGCCTCTGAGGGAGGAGCTGCTGCCTGCTTTATGCCTTCACTCCTGCAGAGCAGCGCTCTGTGCAGTTCCCTGCAGGAGAGAGGCCCAGAATCTCCTGGCTCTATGGAAGGAGGGAGAGTGGCCCTCAAGCTACCCATAGCATTCTCTAACTCTGCCTGTTTTACAGACTCTTCAAGACCTTCAGGTCAGAACTCTTAAGAGGACCAGGACTAGGCAGAAGATTGGTCCCTAAAGAGCAGCTGTTTCTCTTAAACCTGTCCTGGGGCCATACTGGGCTGAACAGAGCCCTGAAGTCACAGACACCTTGGTCCTGTGCTTATCTTCCCTTCCTCAGCAGCTGCCCCTACCCCAGGCCCGACCTGACTGTGGAAGACTGTCCGGGTTCCACCTTTCTCCAAAGGCAAGGCCCTGTTCCTTGTCCTGCATGGAAAACAAAGACAGAAGAGTCACAAAAGCCATGACCCAGAATAAGGAAACTCCAGCAGTGTCACAGTGGAGTAGCAAAGTGGTTTGAGGGCACAAGTTCCCCGGATTTAAATCCTGGCTGTCACTTATGTACTGTATGACCGAGGGCAAACTATTCAGCCCCTGCATACTCATCTTCTTTTTAGTAAGATAGGGATTATTACAAAACTTAGTTCACATGGCTGATAGTAGGACTGAGCGCTACATATAATCAGAACCAAGCAAGTACTCTGTAAGTGTCAGCTGTGTTCTGACCAGGTGTCCTGGGTAAGCCCTCTCCATAACAGGTAGTGAGCATTAATCCTGAGGGGGCATCTTGCCAACCTCTTCCCTCCTCGTTCACTTCTAGCTCTTTCTCATGACTCAGGTAGGAAGATCCGGTCAGGACAGCAGAGGATTTGGATGAAAGCTTCTGGAGCTATAGAGTAACACGAGAAGCAATGAGAGGATGGATATGGTTCCAGTATTTTCTTACCACATCTCTGCTGGCTGGGTGATTGTTTCGTAAATTTGGATGCTGAGAATCCAGTAAGTTAACTAAGGGCTTGCCTCCCTCTCCTAGGAACAAGGCCAACGTCTCACCTGGAAGTAAGGATGAAGTAGATTCAGAGAAGCAAACTTCTGGGTGTTGGACTCATCTCCTCCTTGCCTCGGCTGCTTTCCTCTGACTGACTCGCAGCAAATTTAGAGGTACAAGCTCCTGATTTGGGGGAGCAGGTTGTACAGGGGAAGTGTCATGCCTCATCCCTGCCTGTATGCATCTGGGGTCCTGAACCCTGGCAGTCTCCAAGTCTCTGCCCAGGGGAGCATCCTGGGTCCTGGAGAACCGTCAAGAAGGCATCCTCTCTTGGTACCAGGTGCTGAGCGTGAGGAGGCATATGGAGTCCCATGGGCCTGCAGGATTCTCCTCTAGGGAGACCATGGTGTCTCCACTAGGCCTGAGGTGTCACATGGGCTATAGTGTAAGGACCACTTTGAACTCCGCCTGCCAGTATATCCAGGCAACTCCACTGAGAACCTGAAGTTTGACAGTAAAGCCCAGGAGGGCTAAATGTCAGTTCTCTTTGTCTCTCCTTCACCTGTCACCTGAGTGCCTTTCAGTCCAGGCCATCCTACTCTGCCTCTCCTTAACCCCTTTCTCATCTTTTTTCTTCACTAAGTACCAGTTTAAGGCTGGCCAAATAGCTCAGCAGATTAAAGCGCCTGCAAGCAGGTGCAGGTTCCAGGAATTTGATCCTCAGGCCTGCTGTGCCTCCCCCCCACCCTCCGGCACGCTGAGGTGGCAATTGAGACTGAGTGTGGTGGTACGCGCCTGTAATCCCAGCTCTTGGGAGGCTGTAGACAGACAGAGCACTAGAGTCTGATCTAGTAGCGAGACGCTGAACATCCTGTAGACCCTTCGAAAAAGTAAAAAAAAAAAAAAAAGTACCAGTTTAGATTTTCAGGTCTAAAGGGAGAGACATCGGCCTCTCCCTTGGCGGCATCATCAGCTTACCCACCCCGCCCACTCACCTTTGTGTACCTCTGCTGATGTTCACCGGTGGCCTGTCCTCTGGTGCTGCCTAGTCATCAGCTGCATGTGAGCTTTCAGAATCCTGGCTGTTCCCTCGCTCAGATCCCTGTCCTTTCTCCACAACAGCTCTTTAAAAGCTGCCTCCACTGTGCAGAGAGGATGGCCCTTGTTCAGGGCTCACTCATTTTCCTGCTTCAATGCCACATTCTTGAATCCACATTCTTCCTTCTCTGTTAATACAGAGACACAAGCCCACTCCCTCCATCTCCTGCTCGAGGCCCACCTGCCTCCCTCTGAGACCAATTTGTTCTCTCCCTTGTATCTTCAACCCTTCCTTTCTCTGTGTTTTACCAACCACATCACCTCTATCTTAAAAGGCGCCTTCAGTTAGTCGCAAAGATCTATCGGTCCTACCTTGTGAAGGTCCATCGAATCTGTTCCCCTTGAGCCCCACCCAGCAGCCACCCCATCTCACCTCCATGCCTCCATGTTTTACGGCCCGACTATGCATTAATCTCCCAACTGATTTCCCTGCCTCTATTTTTCCCTTTCCAAGTAATTCTCTATGTTGCTGGCAAAGTGATCACCTGAGTACACAGTTCTGACCACATCATTCCTCGGCTAAGCATTGTCCACTGGCTTCCTTTTGGCTGCAAGAAAGCCTCGGGACTGGCCCAGCACACTCCCAGCCTCACCCTCAGCTCTTCCCAGCCCACAAACCCTCTGGTTCCTCCAGCTACTCCTCTCTGTTCAGGGGCCTGCTGAGGCAGCGCTGCTGGGCCATGCAGCCGTTTCTTCTTCTTTTCCTTCTCAGGCCAATCCCCAGCTCCACGCAGCAGCCAGTGAGCTTGAATTCTCCCTTGGCTTAACATCTCTCTGTGTTTTTCCGTGTCCAGAGGCAAAGTCCAGATTCCTCCTCTGGGTCAGCAAGGCCATTCAAGGACAGGTGTGGCCAAGCAGGGCTCCTCTTCTATGCTCCCACTTTCTCGTGAAGTGGGAGACCGAGTCAGCTGCCAAGACTTGGCATGGGAGGCAAGCCCCATGCAGAGCTCCCTAAGAACATCTCCTTGGGGGGACAGCAAAGTGGAGACAGATGGTGGATTCATGAGGAGGGGCCTTGGTGAGAATGCACACCAAAGGGCAGGGGCGAGGAGTGGAGGGCTGTGTCACGGATGCCTGGAGTGGTGGGCTACGGAGTCTTAATAGGTGGCAAGGGAACTGAAGACAGTAGGGGAGGCATCATCAGCTCTATTTTAGATAGCATCTTGCTATTGTCCAGGCTGGCCTTGAACTCACTGTGTAGCCCAGGCTGGCCTCGAACTTTTAGCAGGCCTCCTGCCTTAGCCTCTTGAGCACTGGGATTACAGATGTGGACACCATGCCCAGCTAAGGAAGACAGAACTTTAGAAGAGAGAGACAGAGAGCAGAGGGGCTAGTGGACCAAGCAGGTCTGCAGATAAATGTTTTGAGCAGGCTAGAAAAAGGTAGGACACACTGGCAGGTCTGCTTTAGAGATGAAGGAGGAAGCTGCATTTCTAGATTCGTTTTTTTTTTTTTTTTTTTTTCAGAACTGGGGTTTGAACTCAGACCCTTGTGCTTGCCAAGGAAGCACTTATTCTACTGAGCCATCTCCCCGGCCCTGGAAGCTGCATTTCTGCTTGCCTGTGTCTCAGTACAGCTCTCACCTGTTGCCTGTCTCATGTTACCCTCTGAAATGGTCCCTCTGGGGGCACAGGCCAAAGCCTTCACTCTGCATCCTTCCCCAGACAGCCTGATGCTGGTGTTGCCTGTGGTACTGCTCTGTTAGACTTTTATATTGCCTAAGCTCCTCGGTGGCTAAGCTTCCTTAGTTTTTCTTTTATTTTCTTAAAAGAAATATTGTTGGTATCTATCCTATTTCAGATAAAGGAAAATAGACTTCTCCCCATAATATAGGGGAGGGCATAGGCCATCCTATGGGAGGGTATTCTATGATTCTAAGAGGCAGTACAGTGCTGGATGTCTCTTGAGAACCCAGGAAGAGTGGAGGTCTCTGGGGCAGAGAGTATAGGGCTTCAGGAGGGACGGATGGGGGCCAAGTGTGCAGGGACCTATCTTTCCTTCCTGCCTTCCCAGATAAAGTTGGGTCTCCTGACCTCACCTCCACCACACTGCTGTCTGCCCAGGTCATGGTTCTCTATCCACCCAGCAGAGCAGCTATGTGTTGGGCCCATGTTAGGAACTAGAGATGCAAAGATGAGCAGATGAGACCAAACCTGGCATAAGCTCAACCCCTGCTGAGGTGGCAGGACACAGAAAGGATCCCTGGCCAGTGTCTGCAACCGAGAGTGCTATGGGCATAGAAAAGGAGCAGCTTGCTAGTCTAAGAAAAGAGGGTCAGGAAAGACGCCCCAGAGAATGTGAGTCCCCAGAGGGCTGGGTCTTGAAAGACAAGAAGGCCAAGTGAACAGAACATATAAAGGTGGGGACAAAGGAGTGAACACGTGAGTTTGTGGAAAGGGTTCGCTGTGGTGGTTCACAGAGTCCTTTGAGGGGAGGGTGAGACCAGATGATGTCAGGAAGCCTGTAAGAGGTGGGGAGCCAGGGAAGGATTTTCATGTGGAATTTCATTTTAGTACTCCGGTGCACGTTCTAACTCAAGCATGTGCTTGTGGTGATGAGGAAGTTGGTTTTTAAGGGAAGAAAAGAGCAAAATTGTGGCTATTAGTAAGTAGGCAGCCAATTCAGGCAGACAAAGAGGTTTCCTTCTAAGTTGTGGAAGATGTGGATTACAGTATTAGACAAAATTTATGTGGGACTCAGGAATTGAACATTTGCTGTTGTACTTGGGGCAGGAGGCAGTGAAGGAGCCAGCACTTCTTGGGGTCACTCCCAGGTCTCTGACCCAGATGCTGGGTGGGTGACTGGTGGCATCTGGAGATGAGGTAGAGGATCTCCTCAAAGGCTGACAGGAGGCCCCTCATCCATCAGCCTGGTGTTTATCAGAACACATGCATGCTCTGGCCTGCTGAGTCCCTGCAGTTCTAGCACGATGTGTCTTAGGGGACAGGTCATTCTCCAGCCTCACTAGTGTCCTCATGTCCTTCAGGTCACCTTCCCCTTACACAGCAGGAAGTGGTGCTGCAGTAACAAATGCTCTTGCACTTGCTTCCAGGGGAGCTTGATCACTGACACTCAGGGAATGTCACTGTCACCACAGAACAGGAGCTCCCTTCCAGGGCTGCCTTCAAGCATGAAGTGCCCTTTACCTCGCCAAAGAGTTGCAAACACACTTCCCATGCCCAGGAGCCCAAAGCAGACTGGCCAGTGCACTGGTCAAACATCAGAAACAGGCCGCCCTTGCTTCCTAGTGGGCAGGGAGCTGCAGTCTCTGGCTGCTGCCGGGGAGGCAGTGAAGGGAGACCATGAAAGGATGCGCAGTCTCCAGAGGGACAGGGACAGCAGTCTGATGCCAAGGACCTCCTCCTGAGTCAGCATGTGAATAAATGCAAACGCCCTGGTTTTACTACTCTTCCTCTGGGGCCAGAAGAAGCCCACTGTCTTCCCAAACCTGCATATCCACTCAACCCTCCTCCCTTCCCTCCTCCTGCCCCTCCAGTTACCTGGGAGGAGAAACTGCACAGTTGGCTGAGGACATCATTCAAGGCATTGTTTATAAATGGTGGGAAGAGCTAAGCTGTCTGGTAGGTGAAGAGGTAGGTATGGGGTAAGGGGAAGGTGGTCTCTGGCATGAAGACAATGACAATGACAGCGACAGTAGCATCCTCCATTTTATTGCACGTCTGTTATGAGCCAGGGCTTCCTTTCATGATGACATTTATTCCTCATAGTTGACAGCAACCTGAACCTTGAGAAGCTGAGCCTAGCAAGACTAAATCTCTTGCTCGTGTCGCCCTGCTATTGTGTTCCAGGCAGGGTTCCCGTCCAGGTGAGTCCGCATCTGGAGCCCGTGTTCCCTCTCCTTTGCATGCACAGCTCTTCTTGACAAACAGTCACTGTGCAGTCCCGGGTGGGCAAAAGGCAATCCCTGTGGAAATCCCTGCCAGGTGTCACAGGCACACTAGAGATGAGGGGTGTTGGAAATAGGAGTCGAGACTCTTCAGGGACCATAAGCCTTTCTCTGCCTGGAGAGAGACCCTAGACAGGCAGAGGGACAGTCCATGAACACAAACATGAGGTTCTTAGAAGGCACACTCCCTGTGCTATGGATATGTGGGTACACCAGGGCTCTGGACGACACAATCCCATGGGAGGGCCGACATGCACAGAAGGCCCTGGGACACACACACACACACACACACACACACACACACACACACTCACACAAATGCTCTCACACACACATATACAGATGCATGCCCTGAAGCAGGTCGGGGAACACTGAGGCAGGTATGTGAAGGAGGGCTCTGGTGGTCAGATGAGGCTGGCGATGCTGGATGTGGTCTCGTGACGCTGGCCAGCAGACAACTGCCCTGAGATGTTGAAGATGTTGCTAGTGCCCCTGTGGGTGGCAGGGGCTGCCCCATGGGTGGGAGGGCAGTGTCCGCTCACAAATACTTGATACAGCAGCAAGCCCAGCAGCAGGAGGGAGCCCAAGGCAGCCAGGGCAATGCCCACAGATAGCATGGCAGCCAGGGGCCGAGCAGGAGCAGGGGCAGCAGCCAGCCCAGCCAAGGTCAGGCCAGTGACCAGCAGCACCAGGCCACTGAGCAGCACCACCAGGGCATCGGCCCCTCCACCACTGCGCAGCAGGGCCACATGGTGGGCTTGGCGTATGCAGTTCATGTCCTGTACAGCTGAGCTCATTAGCTGCTTCACCAGAACCAGCAGGGCCAGCAGGCAGAGCACGGTGCCCGTTGCTAGGCGCCACTCACCAGAGCGGCTACTGGTGGAGGACAGCAGTGCCACACCACCGGCCCCACAGCCTGCCACAAGGCCCACAGCTATGGTGAAGCACAGCAAGGAGCGCCGTGGCTGCTGGGACCACCAAAGCTCCACCTGTTCTGCCAGCATGTCTGGGGGCAGCTCCTGGCCGGTAGGGGCTTGGGTGGGTTCAGACATGGCTTGATCAGGCAGGGTCAGGGCAGAAGGCCAGTGTCAGGGGTCAGAGGGTGCAGACCATGACCTGGTGCCTCCACTTCCTGCTTGTCAGCTGCAGGCCCAGAGTCTCATTCCTGTTAGCCCAGGCAGAGGTCACCATTACCTGCAAGGGCAAGATCACAGTGTGACCTCCCACCCACCACCCCTCAGGGACTCACCTGGGAGCCTTGGGGCAGATCCCTGAAAGTCCTCCCCAGTGTCCTCTGGAGTCTGCTCTGGGAAAGCCCCTTGTCCAGCTCTTTCCTTTAGCGAAAGCCTCTCCAGGACCCCAGGAGAACTCCTTCCCTCTTTAGTGCTTCCCCCTCTTCCAGGGAATCCCTTTGCCCAGCCCCTGACCTCTCTGGCTCTGGCTCTCTCAGTCGCCTGTCCCATCCTGGCTGGCTGAGGGAGCTGGTGCCACAGAGGATGATGGGACCAACAGCCAGAGATAAAGCCTCATTGAGGATCAACTCACATGGCCTCAGCTGTCACCAATGGTTCCTGGGAGGGAGTTGTAGAGAGGGAGGGGGCTGAGGACTTAACCCTTCTGGAACCAGCAGCTGGCCCTGAACCTTCTCTCTTGCGGCTCTGTCTGCTCTTTCTCTGTGGGTTGGGATCTTACCCCTAACATCGCCCTTCCCCTAATCCCACCCTACCCCACAACCTGACCGGCAATAACAGATGCTGGTTCCCAGATTCCTCTCTGCTCCCCAGCTCTTCCTCCCGAGTCAACTGTTGCTTTGATGTACAGTCATCATCTCTGATGCCACAGGTCCCAACCAAACTTGTCCTCTTACTCTAAACCTGCTTTTCCCCTGTGTTCCATAGGTCAGGTGGCATCACTTCCCTTTTGGCTGCCAGGGGTTGCCCATCTTCCTCTGCCACACCCAAGCCCAGGGCAGAGGAGCCTCCAGAGGTTTCCCCATCCAGTTTCTGGTCTCACCCCATTGCATCTGCCTCTTCACTCCGATCACACCGAACCTCCTGCCTCTCCACTCCTTCCTACTCTCCCCTATTCCCCACCTGTGCCATCCCCCTCTGAGATTTATCCAAAGTGGTACAGAGGAAAAAGAAGTGGGCCCAGGGAGATGGCTCAGTGGCTTAAGTGCCTGCCTGATAAGTGCAAGATCCTGAGTTCGATCCCCGGTACAAAAAACAAAAACAAAAACAAAAAACATCTCAGAGTTAAAAGGAAGACTCTGGACCTGAAGGCCAGCCCAGACCTTCCCAACATGGAGCTGTAGAGAGGACTTAGCAGCAACTGGTAGTCACTGAACCTGTTCCCTGGAGGACTCACAGGGAACATGACTCACCACAGCAGGGAAAAAATCAGGCAAGCACAGTCCCTGCCCTCCAGATCCCTGCTGCAGAGTGCTAAGAGCTGGGTGTGCAGCATCAGCACAGGCCCCTGGGAGCCAGGACCCTCAGAGAAACCCCGGTCCTCTGTGAGGTCCCATGGACTCTTATCAGAGCCTCATTCTCCTTTCTCGAGCACTGAAGCCAATGACATTTGTCCCGAGGGGCAGGGGCCGGACAAGTCATTTCACATCTTTATTTAGCCACACAGAGGCTAAAGCACATTTTTTGAATAAATGAACAAGATGTTTCCCCTTCTATTCACAGTGGCTTATAGGACATGGCTCCTGTATCAGGAATCTGAGGTGGCCCTGCACAGGTGATACCCCAGGAGGCATGGGTCCCTCACCAGCCCTCCCTCCACTGGGTCTGCTGGGCACACAGGAGGGTGCAACGGACAGCAGGTGGAGGAGGGGCCATGGGTGGAGAATGGAGTCCTCCCAGCATTCCCCAGGGCTGTGACTTGCTGGTCAGAAAGTGCTGGCACAGGCTGCTATGACTGTAGAGCCAGGCTGGGGGTGGAGTGGAGGTGCTCAGGGAAGAGCCCGGGGGGAGAAGGTGGGGTGGAGTGGGTGGGAGAGTGTGGGGCACTCACGAGAATGTGCTGGATCCGATTTGAGCGGAAGGGGCCCAGAAGGTGGGGTGCTCTTGCTCGTTTCCCGGGGAGATGTTTCACCTGCCTAACCTGCATGCAGGTGAGCCTGGAAGGAGGGGGATCAACAGGTGGCGTTTCCAGGGCAGGGCCTGAGCCGATTGGCTGACGTGGCACTGCTCTTGCTGGCCCAGACATTCCTGGGGAGGGAGGGGCGTTTGTCAGCTGCTGTTGGACTGGAACACAATTAGCAGACCTAGGCAGCAGGAGGAATGTTGTCCATTGGCCCCAGAGCCTGGCCCTAGCCCAACCCCCAGCTCCAACCCCGCTTTAGATTTAGTTCCTGCCTTAAAATTTACCCCAACTCCAGCTGGAGTTTAACTGGAACTCACAGCCTCCCCACTGCCCTTGCTTCATTGCCAAGCCCAACCCTGGTTTAAACCTCAGCTTCAACTCCTAACTCTAACTCAGATTCTGAACTTAGGTCCTACACCCCAACTGGATCTTCGGCCCCAACCTTGCCTCCTATTCCCAAATCCAGCCCCCCCATCCCAACTTCAACCTCACACTGAGCCCAAAGACCAGCACCACGTGATCCTCAGAGCAGCCCCAATGCCTCCATCCTTGGTCCTTTACACAGGGCTGGAGGTCTCCCGAGGCCTATGTTCATTTTCCTGGCTGTGGTGGGCCTGCTCCCTGGGGCTGGGTCCTGCTGAGAAGTGAGGAAGTAAAGGCCTTTCATGGGAAGATCCTGGAATAAACATGTTGGAATAATGCCACACTGCTTCTCCAGGCTCATGCAACCCCTGCCCTCTAGTTAGAATGAGTGGCATTAAGTTCTGCATGCTCTGTTCTCCAGCTTGCCTTTATGGCTTTTGAACTCAGGGCTCCCTTTGCCTGGGATATTTACCACTCCTCAGCCTCAGTCTGGTCATCTGGTCAACTCAGATCCTTCAACTGTGACGTCCCCTCCTCCAGGAAGCCCTCCCTGATGTACAGCCTGCTTTGGGTTCTGCATTCATAGCACTGTGCTTCCCTACTGCTGCTTTTCCTGTAATGTGTGTAAGTGCCCTTCATTTACTTACCTGTCCCTCCCTAGGTGTGTGGCTCTGGGTGCATGCAGGAATAGGGCCTCTAGGGCTGGAGAGATGGCTCAGTGGTCTAAAGCACCTACTCGGAACAAGCTTGGCAAAGCACAGGGACCGCGGTTCAATCCCCCAGCACCACATGCCAGCGAGCCGCGCCCCCTGGTGGGCTGAGCTGGCCACACACATACAATGAATAAATAAATAAATAAAATTAAAAAAAAAAAAAAAAAAGGAATAGGGCCTCTTTTGCTAGCTGGTGCATCCTCAGTAGCCAACACTCAGTAGACTGCCCATGGGGAATAATCAGTAAGTGTTTGTTCAGTGATGGGCTGAATAAATAGAAGTGTGAACTGACAGGTGTGCAGGCCTTGGGCAGGGAGCCTGTAAATAAAACAAGAAAGACGAGTTTGGCTTGGGCTGGGGGGGGGGGGCGTTGAGCCCATGGGGTGGCATTTGGACTGTGCAGGTGACCACGGAGGGCACTGAAGTGCAATAGGAACAAGGCCAGCGCTCTGCTTCCAAGCAGCAAGCCTGGCACTGCACACACACACACACACTCTTTGGAGTGGCAAAATGGGTGACTGACTGAAGGGGACACAGACCTGTCGGGCGCCCTCCCGTCCTGCAGGAAAGCACTCAACACGATTTGTGCAGCAGACAAGCTTTAATCGTTCTCCTGAGTGATGCGCCCCGAGAGAGCACAGTTCCTCTCTCCGTCCCTCTTCCTGTCTCTGACCCTCCGCGTTGCGGAGCGTTTCTTTTATATCCTCACACTGTCCAATCGAGGGTTGATACATGTTACAGCGCCATTGGTTACAATCTCAGGGAAGGTATCTTACATCATTATAGGCGGGTGTATAGCGACTGCGGAAGCAGGAAATGAGCGCCATCTTGTCACACTCGGTGGGAGGGGTAATCTAGCGCAGGCTTCAAGGGCTGCAGCAGGCCTCACCCAATGGTCCCTAGGAGTTTTGGTTCTGAAGCCGCGATTCGCGGCATGGGCTCTCTACACAGACCTCCCTCTGATGTGTGTAAAACAGAAAAACAAAATCAAAGTTATTTCTCCATTATCTGCTTCTGGAACAATCTTGCCTGATCTGTTGTGTTTCCTTTTGCTTGATCCTGTGGGGTGTATGTAATTTAAACTTTTCTGGTAGCCTCTTTTTTGCAGAATAGATGAGATTAGCACATGAAGTAACATAATTTAGTTTCGATATATATTATCATCATTATTATTTTGGTTTTTTTTTTTTTTTTGAGCTAGGATCTTGCTGTGTGTTCAAATTGTTCAACTCAGTATGTAGCCCAGGCTGGCCTTGAACTCATGGTGATACTTCTGCCTTAGCCTCCAAGTGCTGGGATTCTAGGCTTTAACATATATTTTACTTTTTTTTTTTTTTTTTTGCGGAACCAGGGATTGAACTCAGGCCCTGCACTTGCCACACAAGCGCTTATGCTACTGAGCCATCTCCCCGGCCCCATATATTTTAATATGTAAATTGTTAATGAGCTATTTGAAATTCTTTTGACAATTCAATGTGTATTTCACACAGACTGCACTTCCGTTTAGGCTCCCATGTTCCCAAAGTCCTGTCACCACCTCTGGCTTGTGCAGTGTCCTTAAGAGGGCAAAGCTCTCCATGTCCTTCCCCTGGGGAGGACGGGGCAGGCTGACTGCTGTGGGGCCGGCCAGATGCTGGGGTTAACGGTGTGGTGTAATAGGTGTTCAGAAGATTTGCAAAGCATTATATGTGCTACCTCCATAATAAAGGGGTGCCAAGGAGCAGGGGCTGCCACGGCCTATGGCTGTGGGTTCCTCTATACCCACCAACATTCATTTGCCTTCCTGGTCCAAAGGGAGGCCCAATGCCAGGCAGACCCAATGCAGGCTGGTCCCAGGCAGAGCTGGGGCAGGAAGTGTATGAGATTTTCTTTCCATTTTTCCTTCCCCTGGGAGTTCAAAATGGGAACATCAGCCTAAAAGCTTCCCCTGTTTGAACACGGACTGGGCAAGCCTTTGTTCTGGTCTGGGTCTTACCAGATGACTTGCAGTTCAGTGGGGCGCAGGATCTGCATGGGGCTGGTAAACTGTCTCCAAAGCAGAGGTCACAGGGGCAGCACAGATAGGATGGGCAGGGGTAGGGTCAGAGGAAGGGGTGGGCACGGGCACGCTGGAGGTGTGCATTTGACTTGCCCTCAGATACATGCAAAGGTGGTAGGGAGAGTCCAGGAAGGAGGACAAAAATCCCCAGGGCATGTTGGTCTGCTTCTGCCTGGCTCCTACCTGATACTACGCTCAGGCAGGAAGCTGGTATAATATTACAAAGAATAAACAAATGGGATTGAATTAAATGAAAAAGATTTCTGAACAACGAAGGAAATCACCAACCAGTGAAGAGACAACATACAGGATGGGAAAAAATTATTTGCTAGCTACTCTTCAGACAGAGAAATAATACCTAGAATATATATAGAAATAAAAAATTACCCCCCCAACTTAAAGACCCAGCCAAAAAATGGACATCTGAAATGAATATATACTTCTCCAATGAAGAAGTACAAATGGCCAATGCGTGCCAAAATGTTCAACATCACTTTACATTTGAGAAATGCGAGCACAAACAACACCGACATTTTCCATCTCACTCCAGAAAGAGTGGCTGTCATCAAGAAATCATGCTCTGCTCCAGAATCTGTGTTTATCAGATGTGCAGAGAAGAAAATACCCTGCTGACCCACTGGTCAAGGTGCCGGGTTTTGCTCCTGGGGGGCTCCTCTGTGGCCTGGGCTTCTGCCTCCTCCCCTTACCAACTGTACAGGCCAGCTTTACCTATGCCCAGGCTCGCTTAGCTGGGAATTTCCAGCTCCTTTTCCTTGTGGTTTAGATTATTTGGGACCACATTTCATAACCCACCACCTGACCTGTGGAATTTTGCTTGGATGCTTCTCTAGCGCAGCACGTAAGGGCATGGAATTTGGAGTCCCGGGGGTGGATGGGGCCATAATTCTGGCCTTGCCTGTGTGACCATGTACCAGTTTATTTACTGCTCCTTGATTTTGATCTCCATCATTGGTAAACTGAAGTCCATCTTGTGGGCAAAAGGAGCTGCTCGGACTCTGAGATATTTTTCAGTTGAGTTTCCATCATTTGAATATGGGTGTATCCTGGCCACAGCAAATTTACTCCTCAGGAGGAGGCCGGTTTCCTCTGTTTTTCTTCTTCTTAGTCAAGCTCCCTCCCCTTGGTTTGGTTAACTCTTTCTAATCCTTCCTAGTGTTCACTACTTTTCCTCCCCTCTGCCATCACCTTGGTCCAAGCCACTGGCCTGTTACAACTGGACACCCAGTTTCCTTCTAACTAGCCTCCTGCCTCTGGTAAGCACTGTCTTCAAGCAGTGCTCTGCACAGGCACCTTGTGGAGCTTTGGGTGCTGAGAGTAGCTTTTGCCCTCATGGAACTGTCCTAGCAAGAGGGGCAGGAGTTAGAAAACCGAAAGGAGGGCTTGGGGAGATAGTTCAGTAAGTGACTGCCTGGCAAGCGCAGGGTCCTCAATTCAATCCCCGGTACCAAAACACACACACACACACACACACACACACACACACACACCCCAAACCAAAACCAAAGGTACATGGTGTGGTGGAGGTTCTGGAGAACACAATAGGGCAGGTGTAATTTACATGGGAAAGATCAGAGACTGATTTTCTGAGGAAGTAACATTTGTGCCAAGATCTGAAGGAGGTGTAGGGGCAAGAATATTTCAGGCAGAGAAGGCAGTATGCGGAAAGACCCAGGGCAGGAACGCCATGGTCTATCACAGGAGCTGCAAAGATGCCAGTGTGCCAAGAGTCTGGGTAGTGGGGTGCAGTGACTCACAGCAGCCTAGTGCTGCCACGGACTCCCATCTGAGTCTTTAATGTGCCTCCCAGGTCCCGCAATTCTGGCCTGCCTGGCCCCATAGCCCCTCAATCTCATTTCAACTTAGTTTCTTCTGTGAAGGTAAAGGTAGGATGCTCCTTTGGAATGGAGAGGCTTGAGTGCCAGAGGGCCCAGCCACCTGGTGTGATAATGTAAGGTGCTGTGTCTCTGTGGCAGAACTTCTCTCTGTTGCCTGGATTTCTTCTTGCTCTCGGAATCTGGTATCCCAGAGGGCAGAGGACCTTCTGGCCTGCCACAGAGGAGCTGGCTGCTATGACAGGGCGACGGAGTACTTTGTTTTGTAGCCTCTGTCAGGGACCCTCTGTTGGCTGCATCTGCCTTCAGGATAGCCTTGCCTGAGTCCTGCTGTGAAAACTAACCCAAGATTAGGCCCAGGGCGTAGGTGACTCAAACCAAGGAAGGTAGGAAGTCTTGCTGGTGACAGACTTCACAAGGCCCAAGACTGCCAGCAGACACAAGGGACTGTGGGATTCGGTCTTTATTTGGGTATTAGATGGGCACTTTGCCTCTGCAGGCAGCATCCAAGGACACCTGACTTATACTTCTTTGCTCTTCACTGCATAAAAAAGTATCTTTCCTGACATCTCTGTTTAGTTGAGTGTCCCAAGATGGGGCCTGGAGGATTACTAGAAAGATAAGAGCCCCAGAAGTGGAGGAGCTGGGCAGGCCCTGCAAACGAAGAAGGTTAATCTAGGGTGACCTGAGATAAGAGAAAGAAGGGCAGAGCCCCACTAGGAGTCCTAAGATCAGCGTCCATGGTAGTGCAAGACTGGGGGGAATCCTTGTAACTCTGTTCCATTCATGCAGTGGTTCCTCTGTTCATAAGCACTTGGAACAATTTTGTTGCCAAACAGAAGCATTTGGGAAATTTTTGTTTTTGTTTGAAAACTCTGGGTCAGGTACCAAAGATGACTGTGGCCATCTTTCCCACAGAGAAAGGAACGTGGTCATCTTTCCCAGAATCATGGAATGAGTTAAGTTCATGAACCAAGGCACCACTATATTTTACTCTCATTTTTCCCCTCACTTTTTATTTATTTATTTTTTTCTGGGTGTTGGGGATCGAACTTGGGACCTTGTATTTGCTAGGCAGGCACTTATGTTACTGAACTATGTCCCTGGTCCCCGTTCTCCTTACTTTTACTCATACAGAAATCTCAAAAAGCCTCATAATGTTTCATAAAGAAAAAGAAAATGTAGGAGGCTCTGGTCTTGACTTGGCTAAGCAAAAAGAAAGACAGGAGGGAGACAATAGACAGGGTTATTTAAGCTGGGAAGCCCAGGGAGGCCAGCAGGTAGCAGGAAGCAGCCCTGAGTCCTGTGCGATTGCGGTAGTGCCGAGCGCAGATGAGGATCAGCAGCACTGGCTTGGGATGTGCTGCATCCCGCAAGCTTCAGGGACCTCCTCCCACTCCTGACCTGGCACCAGCGCAGCGTAAGTTAGACAAAGTTGGAGGCAAACATCTTTATTCTGGCGGGGTCTCCAGGGCAAGAGGAGGGTGGTGCTGCAGGAATTGCATAGATTGCAGCACAAGGCTGCCTGAGGACAGACACACTGTGCTTCCAGTTGTGGCTGGAGGCGGCTCACCAGAGGGATCACTTGGTCCTCACCTCGAAATCCACTTCTGAGTCAGCAAGGGACGGAAGTCTGATTCCAGCGATGGAGTGAAAGCCCGGTACTTGCTCCTGCTCTTGGATCTGGTCTCTGAGGCGCTGGATTTCTAGGCGTTGCATTTCAATGATTCTCCCAGTTTCTTCTTGCTCATTCAGTCTCATGGTGGCAGCGGCACTGGGCACATCTCTGCCAGACACTGTAATGGATAGAGCTGGACATGTGGGGCTTGTTCACTGACCTGCTGTAGCCTCTTCTTCTCTTCCCATTCCTCAAACATTCTTTGGATGGCTACTGTGGGAAGACAGTCTCAGGTGCTGAGGGTACAGAGGTAAGTGATAAGCTCTGGCCGGAGTACAGACTGCTAACTTATCATGGCCCTGATCCAACATGGCCGAATCCCCGCAAACAGCAGCTTATCTTCCTAGTGATCGCTTCCTCCTCCTTCCCCACTCTAGCCCTGGGTACAACTTCCTTTGACCTTTCCCGCCCACACAAGGGAGCCTCCAATTAGCCCCTGTGTGTCACTGAACCTGCCCCTCAAATTCCACCCTTAGCAAAAGTCCCTAAAGTCTCAGGCTCCCTGTCTCAGGGCAGAGGATCCTCCTATCTCCTGTCTCTTCATCCTTCGTATGAATTCAGAGTTAATAAAGACCCCCCATGTCTGCTTCTCTGCTGTGCTGCTGCCACTGACAAAACTGAACAGTAAGTAGACCTTTTCACCTTCTCACAGAGACTGAGAAATGAGGGACACTTGGGAATGACAAGGAGAAGGCCGAGCAGGAGATTGGCCCACGCCCTCCTGGATCCCTGCACTGAAGTCCTCTGCAGTGAAGGCTCCTTCCCCCGGCTCTGTACCCATCAGGCAGGGTGCTGCCTCATGTACAGCCTGCACTCCTGGAGACCAAGTTCTGCACCCCCCCTGCGTGGCCACCCACTGGAGTTCCCTGAGGTGTCTCTACCCCGGCTCTGTTACCTCTGTCTCAGGTTCTGCCATTTCCCTGGGCAGTATCAGTGTCTGTCAGGGCCCGCGGCTCATGCCATTCCCAGCATTAGTGCCCGTTGCCTCTGCCCCATGCAGCGCCCACTCTGGGCTTCTCACCAGGCAGGATCCTGTGCTCTGTGTGCTTTTCACTCCAGCAGGCTGTACACCTCTCTGTGCCTCACACTCTGGCTGAATCATGACCTCTTGTTCCTGGATACCTCCATCCCTCCCGTCCCCTAAATGGGCTCCTCTTCCATTCACTTCCTTTCCTGGCCAGTTAGACTCAAGGTGACTTCTTCCTCCATTTCCTCGACGGCACCCTCAGTACTGGGTCTGCTGCATCCTTCTGCCTCCTGTGTCCCGCCCTGTCCAGACCTCAGATAACTCGACTTCTAGGATCTTCTTGTGGACATCCACATAGTAGCATAAGATTCAAGCACTTAGTCTCCAAATGTTGTTAGCGTCACACTCATAGCCCCAAACATTCCCAGCCACCTGCACAGCCTGAATTTCAAACTCCATTTCCTCTCCCTCGTTGAGAGCACTGCCACCTCGCTCCGACTCCTTGAAACTCTCCAACCCACTGACCCTTTTCAAATCTCAGTGGAAAAAGGACCTCTCCTTACCACTGCCAACCCTTCTTGTACATCCAGTGGAAAAAATAGAACACAGTAGGTGTTGGAAGCCAAGAAACAGTTTCAAAGAGCAAGTGGTCAGCAGTGGCCAGTGACCAGCCTTGCGACGGCCTCTGACTGACCTAAAGCAGCCTGCATTCAAGGAGCACTTGGCTTATCCCAGCCTTCTTTTCAGGGACCTGGGGATCTTTCTCTCTTTGCCTTTGCTTTTGGCCTTTTCTTTTCTGCTCTCTCTAGACTCTTGATCTTTTCTTGTTTCTTCTTTTCTTAGACCTTGACCTGTCCTTTTCCTCCTGCTCCTGGAGGCCATCTAGAATCAAGCTGTGCCCTGGGCCTGGGATCCTGTAAGCACAGTGTCCCTGTGGGAGGTCTAGGAAATGGGTCTTTAAGGCCATCTACTTGCTAGGGCCTGCACTGCTCACCGCTGCCTTCTTTCTGCTTACCACTGCCGCTCTGCTGTGTTCTCTGCCACTGCCTCTTTTTGGCATAGGCTCTGAACTATGCCCTATGATGTCCCCCCTTATACACAGCTACTTAACCCAGTCACTACCTGGCTTCCTGGGGCACCCCAACCTGTGTGTGGAGACACCATCCTAAAGGTACTCAAGTGAGTAAGCCTGAACATTTCCCAAAACTTGGATACTTCTGCCAGTGTTCCCAGGGGCACACTGTGCCTCTGGGGACAGTGGAGCTCATGTGGACTCTGGCCTCATGGACCCAATGCTTTGCCCCTGCTCCTGGTGAATCATCTGGAGGGCATGGGTCTTGGTTTTCCTCCATTTCTTCCCTTCATTCCTAGGATGCTTCCTCCATTCCCACTGACAGTGACCGGTCTGCTCACCCCATGGTTCAGCCTCACGGAGCCCCCTTGGATGGCCTCTGTCTCTGTGCTGCTGCAAAACCTCCTGCCCCCCATGTGAAGTCGGTCCTTTCATGTGGTCCTGCGCCGCTTCTCTTCTACATCTCCAGTCTCTTTCTGTCCCTTGCTCTGCCCAGAGAAGGCCTGGACCTGGGCAGACCCCTCTCTGTGCTCTGCCCACCAGCTGCCTCCAGTAGAGGAAAGTAGATTTTTAGGGCCAGGTGTGGAGGTGCACACCTGTAATCCTAGCACTTGGAAGGCTGAGGCAGGAAGGTTACCTCGAGGCCGGCATAGGCTACATAAGCAAGTTTAAGACCAGCCTGAATGACATAGCCATTCCTTGTCTCAAAAAAGAGTAGACTGGGCTGGCCAAATAGCTCAGTGGATTCATTAGTACAATAATAGGATAGTTTTTACTTGTTTGGGAAGATACTTGCAAGGGGAATAGCTGAATCAAATGGAATTTCTAGTTTTAGTTTCTTTCTTTCTTTCTTTCTTTCTTCTTTCTTTCTTTCTTTCTTTCTTCTTTTTTTTTTTTTTTTTTTTTTGGCAGAACCAGGGATTGAACTCAGGCCCTTGTGCTTGCCAGGGAAGCGCTTATTCTACTGAGCCTGGCCCCGTCAGTTTCCTGAGGAATCTCCACATTGACTTTTTTTTCTTTTTTTGGTGGAACCAGGGAATGAACTCAGACCCTTGCACTTGCCAGGGAAGCACTTATTCTACTGAGCCATCTCCCCGGCCCTCCACACTGACTTCTATAGTGATTATACTAGTTTACATTTTCACCAACAGTACAGAAGGGTCCCTTTGCCCTCACAGCCTAAGATTCATTCTTATTTTTTTCTAACGATATGGTTTTAGTAAGTAAAAAAAATCAGGTATATCTATTACAGTAGATCTGCTAGTTAATTATTATATATATGAAAAATTAGTATAGATGCTGCTAAACTAAGTAACAGTTTGGGGATGACAACCTCTCTTTTTCACATAGAGAGTTCTTGGACACCAATTAACCTGGCCCATTCCTTAAACAATTTGAGAATATATATTTTGAGCTGACTTTGAGGATCTGTATTCAAAATCAGAGGTCAGAATGAAGTATTTTATGATCAAGGCAGACGATTGGTAATGCTTGTTCAGTTGCTACACATGAATGTTCCTTGGGAAAACCATTTTGAAAGAATGGAAACAAAAAGGCTGGGGAGATGGCTCAGTAAAGTAAGCACTTGCCTGGCAAGCGCAAGGGCCTGAGTTCAATCCCCAGTTCCGCAAACAAAACAAAACAAAACATGGAAACAAAGCTTTGTAAACCAGGAGTGGGGGAGGGGTAGAAGGGAGTGTGGGGAAATGGGAAAAAAAGCCCCAACAAATTATATCATGTACAGGTGCAAATTCTCTATGATGAATGCAATTGTTATGTCTATCTGAAATGTACTTATAAAATGTAGTGTAAAAAATTATATTATGTTTGGTTTCCTTTAAAATAAGCCATGGTGTACATAGGAGGATACAACATTGTATGTGTGTGCATGCATGTGTGTGTGTGCACGTGTGTGTGCCTGTGTTACTGATGAAACAAGAGTGGCAAGAGTTGGAAAATGGCCCGGGGAGATGGCCCAGTAGAATAAGTGCTTGCCTGGGAAGTGCGGGAGCCGAGTTCAATCCCTGGTTCTGCCCCCCCCCCAAAAAAAAAAACAGTTGGAAAGTGAAGTTAGGAAATGGGTTCGTGGGACTTCTTTTGACTTTTTTCTTAATTTTTGTAAGAGTGATATGAAGAACCTGGCTGTACCACCCAGCAGCCTGAACAGGTCCCCAGTGAGCATTGTCAGGATGTTTTGGCATATTTGAGACTTTTTAAAGACAAATTTTTCAGTTGCTTACAGGCATGTATCTATGCATTACCCCCAAGAGAAGGTGGTTTCAGTTCTTGACAGTCAAGAATCTCAGTGTTAGGACATGCCCTGCGCCCTATGTCAGTGCTATAAACCTAATCCTGCCGCCTGGGGTGCTGTTCAGAGGGGCTTTTTCAGTCTCAACTTCAACCCTGGCCAAAACAACGCACGAAAGGACCGCATTCATGCTCATACAGAGTTATGGATCACTCAACATCAGGGGTAGCCGTGTTCTGAGAAGTGTGTCAGTAGTCGATTTCATCATGAAGTGTCATTGCAAACTGAAGTGACTATGATGTCACTAGATGATATAATCTGAAGAACCACTGTTGTATGTGTAGTCTATTGTTGATATAATGTTGCTGTTCAACACATATCTGTACACATACATATATACACATGTGTACTATCATATTTATTATAAATATAACATTATACATATGCTTAATTTTGAAATAGTTTAAGACTTACAAGTTCCTGTGTACCTCCTAGCCACCTTCCCCAAGCAATAAATTTCATGATACATGAGACAACTGACATTTCAAAGACCTGATCCATAGCTGTGGGGTGTTTTAGTTCATCAAGCTTTCTAAGCTTTATTCCTGAATGTAAACTCTGAGAGAACAAAATACTTGAACTGTACTGGCTTAATTTTCATAGAAATGCTTTATGTTCATTTTTATTGATTGTCCATACTTTTTCTAAATGCTTAAAGAATATAGTTAGAAACTGTCCACTGTTATTCAACATTCCTTTCATGAAGGTTCATGTGATAAGTTTTGCCCAGAATTTGGTGTCAAGAAAATGTTATTCTCCAAGAAATAACTTCCTTTCACCATACAATGAGAGCGATGCAAGTTGCCATATTTGTTCATTTTCCTTTTTGCCTTGGCTATCAGAAATTCAGAGGTACTTGAGGACATAGTAACTTAGTTCATTGAACATCTCTCATATAATTCTTTGCCTTTCCTTTTAAATGGTTTATCTTTTTGTCTTTAATTGTACAGCTCCATAATTCCTTATCCACAATTCCAAAGATTTAAAAATAGAACACTTTTAAATGTAGGAAGCTTAGTGTGAATATTCATCTGTCACTACAGAATACTAATGTGTTTGATTTAAAAGCACTGCCCCAGACCCCTCTGGGGATGTTACATAATCTATAACACTTTCTTGCTACGATCAGAAAGAGTCTGAAATCTGAATTGCAGCTAACCCTGAGGATTTCAGCCAGACTGTGGACCTTGAATGCTGGAAGGCCCTTACAGATCTCTTGGGGAGCAGGTATGCGGCATGGAGAGGCTCCCAGAAGGCCATGCCGGGTGTGACCTGATACAGGAAGAAGCCAGAGGGAGACTGCTTATGGCTGTTCCTGGTTATACCACTTAAGCTCAATGCCCATCTCCTGGCAGTGACATTACCTGTCTCTGAAACTTCTTGTGGTTGTATTTTCTTGGACAGTTTCAGAGCTGCTTCAAGGTCATAGACTTGAGAACGAGTGAACTTCAGCTCCCTGCAGAGCTCATTAATTTCCTTGATCAGAGAGACATTTTCCTTCAGAAAAGGAGGAAAGAGAGTGAATATGGATGAATGGGTGGTGGACACAGAGCTTGCGCTCCTGGGCTTGAGGAGTGGGAATGGGCAGGGTTGGGTTTGGATCCAGTTTAACTCTCTGGATCTTCTCTGGGGGCATGATTTTTTTTTTTTTTTTTTTAAAGATGAGGTCTAGCTACATTACCCATGCTGTCCTTGGACTCTTTGTCTTCCTGGCTCAGCCTCTAAAGTAGCTGGATTACAGCTCTGCGCCACAGTGGCCAGCAGGGCATGAGTCTGTCCCTGCTCACTGCTTAGCCTCTCCCGGTGCCAGTGAACCTCGCTTACTTTCAGGTGCACTCAGCGCCCTTGCCATCCAGCCCAGCTCTTTCAAATCAACAAAGATGTTTTCCTGAACACTATTTACATGACTTTAATGTATTTGAACACTGTAACAACCCTAAGACTAGTTTCTATTACAATCACAAGGACCAACTGGGTCTCTGCAACACATCAAACATTTTGCATACATTACCACACTTCTTCCTTCCAACAACCTTATGAGGTTAGTTACTGTCACATTCATTTTGTATGAGTAGGTGCGGCAGGGCATAAATGGGAGAGTGCCCTGCTCCTCCACGACCACTGCCACCCATACCCTACTTTCGCACTGCATTTACATTACCTTGGGCCCAATACCTAACATTAGTGTGACCAAAGACACAACCAAAAGTACAAGCTGGACTCCCTAAAAATAGTTCTCCAAGGTTTCCTGGGTTCTGAGATCACAATGAAGCCAGCTATATACACCTTGGGAGCTCTGAGAATTAAAAATGTGAACACAACAGGCTTGCTGAACCCCTGTTTGTTTTGTTTTTTTTTTAAAAGCTTATTTATTTATTTATTTATTTGAGAGAGAGAGAGAGAGAGAGAGAGAGAGAGAGACCAGCTCAGCCCACCAGGGGGCGGGGCTGGCTGGCATATGGTGCTGGGGGATTGAACCGCGGCCCCTGATGCTTTGCTAAGCTTGTTCTAAGTAGGTGCTTTAGACCACTGAGCCATCTCTCCAGCCCCTGAACCCCTGTTTGTGATTGCTCCCTGCTCAACACAGCCTGCAAAAGCCCTCAACTCTCGCTGGAGGTCAGCAGCAGGAAGCTAAGACCAGAAATGTAAGAGAGACTGGGTGGGGGATGCTGAGATTCATTTATATAGTGATTTCTATGTTGAGCTGAGTGACACTGCCTTAGGCCTCTGGAAATGCCTGCTGTCCCCATCAGTGCACAGAGAAGGGAATGTCGGCAGCGCCCCCTACTGGCTGGCGCTGAGCTGATGCTTTTAAGAACAGGAGGGCCTCGCAGAATGAAAAAACCAGGAGACAGATGCATTCTGTGAACTTGGAAGCTTGGCATCGGCGGTGTCTCCCTGGAGCCCACAGTGTGGGGTGGCCATCTGTCCAACTGCGTGATGAGCTCCATCCTGGAGTCCTCCTCCAGTCTTTTTTCCACCTTTCTTCCATGTCTAACCTGGCATTTCTGTTTGTAATCCCACTCTTGAAATACCTTTGACATCACAGTGTTTCTCTTTCCAAGATGCTCTCCTTTACCCTGCACATGACAGCCTCCTCCTAACTGGATTCCTACCACCTGTTTTTTTCTCCACAGTGTGTCTATTCTACCCACTGAGTTTATGAGACAGGGATAAACATGCCTGTCCATTTAAGAAGCCTTGGGAAGAGTCTGGGTTCTGGGGGAGCTTTTTGCTTCCTGGCATGCTATGAAATGCCCCTTCTGGTATGACCCTAGGATAGCTACCCTTCTATGGGCTCTTTTCTTCTGCCCCAGATTCTCTAGAACAAACTAAGGTCTGTGGCCTCATGCGTCTGTGGCCATCCCCTCCCCAAACCACAAACACCTCGACCCCGCTTTTTCTTGGCTGCTCCCTCCACCTGGAAGGCTCTTTTCCCAGCTGGTCCTTAAGCACCACCCTGAGCGCAGTTTGACTGCCACTTCCTTTCAGAAATCCCCCATGAGTCCTCAAGGCACAGTCACTCCTGACTTTCCTCGGGACCTCAGCCCTGGACACACTGGGTGCAGTGTTGGCTACGTTTGTCCAGTCCAACTTTCTGAAGGAGGAGTGCCCCACAGGGAGGAACGTCTACATTCATTTTGGATCTTCCGTGGCCCACGCAAGGTTTGCTGTGTAAGAAGCACTCGAACAATGTGAACTGAATGAAGGAATGTGTCCTAGATGCTTGTATGCCACAGCAACTCTGGTTTCCGTATCTGCCAGCATGCTGGTGAATGGTGCAGAGAGGCCTGCATCACCTGTCTGGATATACAAATGAGACAGTGGCCTTGTTTTTAGTTTCTAATGAGCAGCTCTCAGGTTGAAGTGCCATGGTACCTGTGGACACAGCTTCAGCCAGCCTCAACTGACTACCCGCAGAGGGGCTCGAAGCAGCGGTTCTGTCTTCTTTTCTGCCCTCAGCCCTCCCCACGTGTGGCTCTCCCGCTGGCTCCTGAGTATGTTTCTTGCTGGGGAGAACAGAAGGGAGATGGCATATTTGAACGCAGACTGCGTACCAGGCCATTACCTGGTGCTTTATCTTGTTTAGTTCTCACAGTAACCACTAGCTTGGCGTTTTCCTCCCCTTGTCACAGGTAAGGAGGTAGCTCTGGGAGAAGCCAAAGAATCAGTCACAGCTCCCTGGTCAAATTATATCAGAAGCAGCATAAGCTGGATGTACCTAGAAGCAGCAGTGCCACTCTCTTTCCATGGCCTGGGCAGAAACGCCATTCCAAGCCTAACTCTGCCAGTGAGGCCCTGCCACCTCGCCTGGTCCTGGGCCAGCCCCTCTCCCTCTCCTTCAATTGTGAATATAAACTTTAGTATCCGGAAGTGTCACTGAAAGTTTCTTCCTTAAAAAATCTTCACATTTTGCAAACTAAATCTTACACGGAGCCCCACTGTGACCAGCAAGAGGCCTCTCAGACTGTAAGCCCTGCCCTGGGCCCTCTTTCTGCTCCCTGTAGTTGTCTGCGCCACTTCTCTGGGTCCACAGGACTGTACCACTCAGGGGTTTAGGTGTCTGAGCGCGCCTTTGGGGGGCTTGCCCTTGTTGCTGGCTCCCTCTGCTGGCCACCAGTGGGGACGGGTCGGGGCAGGAGTCCTGCTTGGGTCTTGGTTCCCCGCCCCTGACCTGGCCCACCAAGCTCTCTAGGACTGGGGGAAGGAAAGGAGGAACACAGGCCAGGTCCAGGTGGATGCTTGCCCCTCTGAGCAGCCTGTGTCTTCACTTTTCCTTTCCCTCCTAGGACTGACACTTGCTTTGATACCTGCTACCTGAGACCTACGTGTTGGTGGCAGGGCAGCAACAACAGCTCAGCCACGTCTCCAGCTGACAGCTGCTCCTCTGTCCCACCCCTCAGCTTGCTGCAATCCAGAGGGACTTCTCTGTGCTCAAGAGACTTGTGGCCATTAGCCATGGCTCTGTGTGGGGCTGCCGGGGGTCCTAGCAAGTGGGTTCACTCTTTCTTCCAGACCTCTGACTGCTCCTGTGGCCAGAACAGGGCGATGGTCTGATGCAGGGGGTTGGGGCTGGTTGTAGGTGGCATGGGAGCAGCCACGGATTCCAGTGTGCTCTGCCCAGCCATGTCAGGAATCCAACCTAGGATCTGGCTGCAGCCGAAGTGCAACCTGCCCTAACATTGTATGTAATTAGGGCATTAAAGAATGTAAATGTAAAAAGATGCCTGCTTTATACATGTGATTTTGATGTTCTCTTCTGATAATCCGCTCGCAGTAATTACCTCAGACGATACTGACACTCAAGCAGAAATCTGGCAGGAGCACCCCAACCAGCAGTCCTGATAAGGTGCTTAAGTGGGGGTGAGGGGAATGGGGCCAGGCTCTCCACATAGCCCTGCATAGGATCCAAAGTGCATGTGGAAAGCTCATTAAATCAGAGCTGGGGGTGGGAGCTGACTCAGGCAGGTAGGTGCGGTTACTTGTGGACCAAGAAATAGGGGTAGGGACCCGAGACACCAGAAAAGTGAGGTAAGGCAGGCACAGACAAGCTTGCCTCGGCAGGGATGAACTGAACAAAAAGGAGTGAAACAAAGTAAGGTGAAACAAGAGTTAGAAATGGAGGAGGGGAGAGGGAGAGAGTGACTTAGGTCAGCTGAGATAACCTGGACGAAGGTCCCAAGCCACAGGGTTGTGAGAAGAGTGGGAGAAAACACAGGCATGACTTAGATAGAGACATAATGCGGCAAGGAACCCAGGTGCCTGAGGTTTGGGGGACACTGGCGGGCATGGAGATGCTCAGAAAGGATCTGTGGTAGGCTCTTGGGCGTGGTTACAGCCAGGATGGGCTCTGGGAGGTCAGAGGAGGCAAAAGAAAGGCTCAGGGAATGCTAGTGGGCCCCCAGATATCTGGGGAACCCCGAGGGTGGGGCCCTCAGAGGGATCCTCTGCCGTTCTCCCATCTCTGACAACTCAGACTCCCAGAAAGAGGGGTGTGGTGTATGTCAGTACCTGCATGATGCGAACATAGTCCGTACGATGCAGCTCACTCTCCTTCACCACCTTCTTCTTGAGAGTGGCCAGGTTCCTCTCCAGATGTTCCCGCTGGCGAGCATACTCCAGCTGCAGATCTGTGTTTAGCCCTGCGATCTCCACCTGAGAGGATGCAGGGGCTTCTCAGTGAGGGAGGGGAGGAGGCCTAGGAGTGCACAAGTGGCCCAGGGCCCTGCTGGGGGCGCTGGTGGGGGGGCTGCTCACCATGTCTGCTCGCTGTACATAATTCTCAAAGAGACCTCGGACCTTGTCCTTCAGCAGGTGCGGCTCCTGGATGTAGGCCACGCAGTTGTGAAGATCTGTCTTAAACCGTTTGACCAGGGCTTCCAAGTCCCGCTCCTGCAATTGGATTTTTAGTTTTGGCACTGCAGGCTGCTCTGCAGGTTGAGATGCAGGGGCTGGACAAGAGGCTTCTGACATAGAAAGGGACAAGAGGAACCTCAACTGGGATTTACAGCTGCCTACACTCGGCCACATGGAGTCCTGTGTGGGCACAGATCTCAGGGGATGGCAGAGACCTCTGCGCACCTGCCGGGCTGGGCAACTAGCCTCAGGCCCTCCAGGGTGGCTCAGGGTGCCTTTCCTTCACAGCACCGGGATGGAACCCAGAGTCTTCACACTGAGCTCTACCTCAAGCTGTTTATTGTGTTCTTACTTTGAGACTAGGTCTCTTAAGTCACTAAATTCTCCAGGCTGGGCTCCAACGTGCAATCTTCCTGCCTTAGCTTCCAGAGTGCTGGGATTATGGGTGCTGCCACCATTCTTGGATCCAAGGTTTCATTTTAAAGAGTGCACACATGTACACACACACACACACACACACACACACACACAGAGCTAGGCATGTGCAACATGTTTATAGTCATAGCACTCAGGAGGCTGAAGCAGGAAGATCACTGAATTAGAGGCCAGCCTGGGGTACAAAAGTGAGTTCAAGGCCAGCATGAACTATGTAGCAAGATACTGTCTCAAAAATAGAAAAATAAAAAAGATAAAAGGAAGCTGGAGCAGCCACACACATTCCTGTAGAGTCAAGATAGATGACACAAATTTACCCACAAGTGTAGGTAGTGTGCTACACGAGGGGCAAGGCTTTTGCTAACACTCCACTACTCTGGCCCAGTGGGTGGAGCTTGCTAGTAACCCTTGCTACAGGTTAAAAAAAAAAATCTTTCTCTGCAAATCCCGGCCAGCTGTTCATATTTACCTCCTGAGCTCACCCAGAACTACTGCTATGAAAGGGTGGGAAGGAAGCCCCCCACAGCCAGGTGGACTGCTTTATCTATACACTGGGATGAGCTCCCTCTCCTCAGTCATGATTTCTCTGAATCCTGTCCTCCCGTACTGTACTCCAGGGCCTCTCTTGTCTCCTCACTCCCATGCCTCATCTCCACATTCCACAATTTGCCACCATGCCTTGCACTATACACACGCTACACAACACTTACCAGCTCCCCAGCTTGTGAGGGGAGGAGCCTAAATCTATTTATACCGGTGCTAAAGCTTATTGTATGGTCTTGTTCAGGAGTAAATGCCTGATGCGGAGGATGGAAAAGTTCAATCTGACCCAGCCAACATTATGGGGTGGCCTGAAACAGGCGAAGAGGACACAGCCGTAGCATGACCCAGGACCAGAAGACCTGGTTTCCTGAACTGATTATAAGCTAGCTAGGATGTTGGTTGGAGTTTAACCTACTAATTTAACTCCCTACTTTTTCTAGCCTTCCTTTGCTTACTTAGATCATGGTATCAAGACCAGTGTGGACGATCTCTGAGGTTCTCCTAGCCTCAGCAATCTACTGACTACAAACGACCTATTTGGGCAGGTTCCCTCCTAGGCCAAAGAAGCCAAAGGATAAGAAAGTTCCTGTGAAACTGGCTTCTCACTCCTGATCACTGTACCCGAGTCACTTTATACTCTTGGCTGGACTCAGTCATGTACCCTTGCAGGGCCAGGAATCAGGCAGGGCTGTGGGAAAGAAAAGCGTGTGAGTTAAAATGGGAAGTGTATCTTAGCAATGGGCTGGCTGTCTCTAAGAAGCCAGCTGTCCGTTGCAGGCAGGTGCCAGATCCCGAGTCCAAGAACTGCCAGACTCTGAAAATCCTCACACCTTCTGTCTCTCTTTGCGCATCTCCTGATCCGTGGCCCGCAGTTTCTGCCACAGCTCGGTGATGTTCAGCTCCAGTTGTGTGTTCTGCTTATGGAAACGCTCCAGCTCAGTTTCCATCTATAGATAGAGACAAGGGAAAAGAGTCAAGGCCAAGTCAGAAAAAGAATGCAAAACACATTTAAGAGCTGGAAACCCTTGGTGGGAATGGTCCCCAACACCAGGGCATTCTTTTCTAGTCTCCACCCATCTCCACCTGATAAAACCTTTCTTACTACTTCCTGCCAGCCTGAAAGCCCCCACCTCTTTGACTGATGTCAAGGTAGGGCCACATGTTTCTATGGTCAAGCCGGGCATTTCCATCTTTGTCGGCTTCCCTTCCCTAGCCCGTGCTGATTCTTTCCTAGTCTTGTATTCCTTCTAACTTGGTAACTCTGAAATATTGAAATGTCAATCAACATGAAGCAAGTTCTCTGGAGAAGCGCATGTCCTGCTCTGTGAGGTTGTCTGAACGAAACTTGCGCCTTGGGAGGCATAGTTATTCTAAAGCATAATTTGGGGCAGATTCTAAAGCAGAGTTTTAAGACCCTAGCATGGCATGGAGCCATCTCCAGTCTAAGGCATAAAACAGGAAGGAGGACGCTAAGAATGAATCTCACTTCATCATTCTCTTGAATCAAGAAATACCGCCAATGAGCTTCTGAAATATTTCCAATTCATCCCTGCATTTCTGCTAACTAAAGACATGTGACTATTAACTGGAACTTCGCATCAGGCTATAAGCATTCAGGGGACCTCATTCCTGCCCAAAGCAAAGGGAAATGTTTCATTTGTACACAAGTGCAGATGGACACTAGTACTCCTGTTAGGAGGAAGCTGGAGTTGGAACAGCTCTTTTGGGGCCGGGTGGAGTAGCCTCCATGCCCTTTGGTCCGATTTCGACTGCCCTACTGAGCCACATCCATGTTCTGAACATGAGAAAGCAGCTTTTAGAAGACTGCTTTCTTCATTATTAGAAGCATTTTATTAGGCACTGTAGCTCTTTGACCTACTGGCATAAATGTAACTCAATAAATATTTGATGAATGAATGAATAAATGAGTGAATGAATGGCAAGTATGGTGGGCAGAGGGATCAATAGCTTGGCATATGGAGGGGCTGGAACCATCTGCCTCTGGAATGGTGATAAGACAAACAGGCAGTGCTCGCGGGGTTATGTAGGGCCACCCTGCAGAGACAATACAGCGAGGGTGAGCACTGTACAGCTAACGAATGTGTCATTAGAAAGGGCTGTCCAGCTGCCACAGGCTTGGAGACACGCAATGGATTAAGCAGTAGTTTCTCTCTTCAAGAAGCTGCAAGTCTAAAGGGATATAAGAAGTGAGTCAGACATTAAGGTAGAAGGGGATAAACACTGTATATTCAAGGTGGAAAGTATCTCGTGCATGCGCAGGGCAGTGAGCAGCTGGCCCCCACAGAGGGACGCATCTGTGGTGTTTTGTAGGAAAAGCAACAATTGCAGGCATGCAGAGGAAGAGAGCAGGCAGCACAGAGCCCCACGCAGAGGAGCAGAGGTGTGGCAGCCTGGTGCATCTCTGCGGAGGGGACACTGGCACAGGAGGCTGCAGGAGGGACGATGCAAGGTCAGAGGGGAGAAGGGCTGAGGTCACCTGGGCTGGTAACACAGGGCAGGGACTCAGTGGTGGGAAGTGTGGCCTTCATCTTGAATGTTCAGGGAACCACTGAAGTGTGTGTGTGTGTGTGTGTGTGTGTGTGTGTGTGTGTTTTAAAAATCAGAATTGGCAGGAGTGGAGAGGGCCAGACAGAGAGGTTTTACTGGAAAGAACTAGACTGGAGCCAGGCAGGCCAGCTGGGCCCCAGAGAGATGATGATGCTCTGGATCAGGGATCTGGCATGTGGAAGAGAGAAAGGGACCTCTCCTTTCTCCTTTGCAGGGCTGAAGGTCACGTCACGCTTACAGCTGTGCTTCTTTCTCTATGTTTACTTCTACTCACTCACTCCCTCCAAAGGCTCAAATTATGCTGAGAATAAAAATAATTTGTTTTATGCAAAAGTTATGAAATATGTGAAATTTGAGTATTTGCACCACCAGAAGACTAGATTAGTAGGTGGCAGGCGCCTCCCTTCCAGCACGGACTTTTCCCTGTGTTATTCATCATACTCGGTGATGCTCAGCAGCACGGGGCGTTCTGCCCCCTATCCCCAGGGGATATTCGGTAATGCCTGCCTAGGCAAGGGTGCCAGTGGCAGTTAGGGTTGCTGCTAAATAGCCTGCAGTACACAAGTCAGCTCCTCCACAGCAGAGAATTTTCTATCCCCTAATTATTATTTTTATTTTTATTTTTTGTTTTGAGACAGGGTCTCACTATGTAAGTCAGGTAGACCTTGAACTCACTCTGTAGTCCAGGCTGACCCCAAGCTCACAGTAGTCCTCCTGCCTCAGCCTCCCAAGTGCTAGGATTACATGTGTGTGCCATTACATTCGCCTCCCAACTGCTGTTAGTGTTGATGCTGAGAAGCTCTGTACTAGATGAGCAAATGAGTAAAAACTAAATCAATGGGGCTCTGGAAACCCCTCTCCGAAAGACAGGGAGCTTAGAGTTGGCAGAGAAGCTTGAAGGAAGGTACCTGAATCAAACAAGGGTACTCATTTATAGAGATCTTAGCTCTACCCACAAGCTAGGAGTTTGAGGCTTCCTTCCTGCAGAAAGTAGAGCTGCAAGGCAGGGTGAGCCCTCGGAGCAAAGCCCCCAGGCCAGAGGCTCCTGGAAGGGCCCAGGCCCTGAGAGGGGAGGCTGGCAGGTGAACACCAGTGATAAGGAAATGCAGTGTGCAGGGAGACAGGGGACAAGAGGGAACACTTAGAGCTCGCTGGAATCTTAGAAACATCTCGCTTCTAATCTCTCTCCCTCTACCTTCAGTCTGTTCCCAGAGCACATTCTAAATCGTGCCACTCTCCAGCTCAAGAGCCTTAGGTGACTTCTCATTCCTTTTCAGATGAAGTCCAAACATCATGGGTGACCCAAGGGCCTACAACAACTTGCAGTTTGAGAAGCATGTGGAAACCTAGTGGTGTTTGATGGTGAGCAAGCCTGTTGGCTGAGTACACACTGTCCTCTAGTGGCAGAGTGCCTAATAGCTGTGTCTTCCTGTCACTATCTGGGCCCACACATGGAACTATGGGAGGGAGGAAGCCCACCTCAAGGACCAACAGCAAGCTCTATGGGGGCACTATGAAGCACTATGCTTTTGGACAGCTGGACCCTCAGTTGGGCCAGGGTCTTCCAGGGTATCCTGTGTGGAGTGGCAGCTGCACATTTGCTGGAAACAGAGGAGCTATGGAAGAGTTTTCTTCATTCCCTTCAGGCCAGGCAGGGACAGTGGAGGAAGAGAAAGGGTCTGAGAAGCCAGGGTGTCGCAGATGGCTCTCACCTCCTGAATCTGTTCCTTCATCACCTTGATCTCATTCTCTCGAGGTTCTATTTGCTTCTTCAGCTCCTTTATTTTGTAGTCGAGCACAAACTTGAATTTCTCTAGCTCTTGATTCTTCTTTTTCAGATCATAAATTCGCTTCTCCTGGGGGTGAGATGAAAGAGAAGTGTGAGGTGTCACAAGGCCCTGGCACATGGAATCCATTTAGGACAAACGCCAAATCCTGTGGCTCTCCTGTGTGAGGAGGCCACAGACGCCTCACTGGCGGTATGAGGGCTGGCGCTCCCGCTGGGCTGCAGTACTCACTCCTTCACTCCTGCGCCAGGAAGTCCACTTGCTCATTCCCACGCAGGCTGTAGATGACAGCGGCTCCCATCCTGCCCTGCTGCTCTTTTACAAAGTGGCCCTGACACTTCTCTTAGGAGATGGAATCTAATTCCCTTCCCTTGCTTCTGGCTGGACTTGTGACTTGTTTATAACCCAAAGACCCTAACTGAAGGGTTGTTAGGTCAGAAAGCCAAGCAGCTTCCACTTGGCTCCCTTAGGATAGCTGGTGTGGGGGAAGCCACCTGCTATGTAAGAGGTTTGGCATACCCAGGGAGGCTGGGTGGAAGACCCAGCATCCCTGTCTCCCTGCCAAGGTGCTGGGCATATGAGCAAAAAAGCCGCTGTGGATGCTGAGCCTCCAGGTTTCAGCTATTTGAGTCCCCCTTGGTCTTCCCAGCGGAGGCCTCAGACATTGGGGGCAGGACAAGCCTGCAGCCAGATGCTCAGAGCTGGAGATTTTGGAAAGTGACTGGATGACAAGGCTCTGTACTCAGCAGTGGATTAATGCACTGATGCCTTTACCGCTGAGTGTGTGGTGAGGAGGGGCCCAGCTGGAGGGGTGGATGGCTGGCAGCACGCCTGTGGAGACTGCATAGCTCACTCCGTGCGCTTTCCTCTCTGCTGTCTATTGCGTAGATCTCTTCTACCAGGCCCTCTGCCATTCCTGCCTTGGAGCCAGGTGACTAAGGGTTGGACCCTCTGAAGCTGTGAGACAAAATAAATCTTTTTTCCTTTAAATTGTGTATTTTAGCTACTTTGTCCCAAAAATTAGATAGTGATTCATACAGATAATAGTTGCTTTTCATTACTGTTTTCAGGTAATTCAGTGCATAGTAACACTAGTTATAACATGGGTATATCCATCCATCAAACATTTACTAAATGAAGATCCTTTGCCAAGTACTGACATTAGAAGATGACATAGTCCCTGACCTCAAGGATAAAACACTAGCAGTGAAGGTAGATGTGTAAACAAATATAGCCTGAAAATGTGACAAACGTTGCATAGGAGGGAGGCACGGAAGGCAGGGCGTGCATGGCGGGCGCTGAGTGACCTGTGCGACTAGTGCATGGTGACTCCCAGGAAGTGATAAGCGAGGCTGGGAGGTGGGGGCAGGAGGCCAGCGTCTGCACAGCGGGATAAAGGTTCTAAAATTTACCCCACAGGCCAGGGTTGGCAAACTCAGCCTGGGTGCCAAATTTGCCAGTTCTGTACAATTTTATGGAAACACAGGCATGTTTGTTCATTTATATTTGTTTGTGGGTGGTTTCACATATGGTGCCCACAGTTGATTAGTTGAGACAGAGAAAATATGGCCTGCAAATCCTACAATATTTACCATCCAGTCATTTATTTAAAAAAAAAAAAAGAAAGCTTGCTGGCTCCTACTGTAGGCCATGAAGAGCTGCTAAAGGATATAGGGGAGTACGCTTGAGTTCTGGTGGCCCTGGTGGTAGGGGTCAGTGTATGTAGTGGGAAGGCCCGGCTAGGAGACTGCTGAAAGTTTTCTAGGTCAGGAGGCCTTGGTCTTTTCTTGTCAATAGTCTCCTTGAAAATCTGAAGACAGCTTTGTGCTTCCCCCAAAACTCCTAGATTCCTATGCAAAATTCATATGCAGAAGTGGAATTCAGGCACCATTCCAGGTAATCCTAAAAAGATCTCTTGAGGTAGTTATCATCCCCATTTTACAGGAGAGAAAAATGAAGGCCTAGAGAAGCTGCCAACATACAATGCCCAGGAAATGGAAGGACCTGCGCTGGAAGCTGCTTATCTAATGGTAAGCCTCACACTCAACCACAGGGGAATTCTGTCTGGCTAAAGCAATAGACATAAAGTGGATGGAGAAGGGGTAATGGGCTCTTTTTTTAAAATAAATTTTATTTATGGGGGAGCGGGGCTGGCTAGCATGTGATGCTGGGGGATTGAACCGCGGTCCCTGTGCTCTGCTAAGCTTGTTCTGAGTAGGTGCTTTAGACCACTGAGCCATCTCACCAGCACCGGTAATGGGCTCTTGACTTGCTCAGGCAATAGTTCTAAATTCTGGATACTAGGTGGTTTGCCTCCTGGAATGTGTGTCTGTCTGTCTTTTTGAGTGTTCCGTGAGAAAGGGAGCCTATGAGGTGGTACCAGCTTCCTGGGGGTATCCACTAGTTATAGGGCCAAGCTCAGGGGATTCCGTGCCTAATCAGGGGACCATGTGGACAGTGTGACACATGAACTACCCTCAGCCTGCAGAGCTGTGTTACCCTAGGATGCCGGAAGAAGTGCAGAGTAGGGGCCTTGGAACTCATTGACTCAGGTTCTTAACCCAGGCCTGGCTCCTATACTGTGTGGCCCTAGACAGGATACTTAACATCTTATGACTCAGTTTCCTGAGCCATTAAAACTGCACTGTGCACACCCCTGGCTGGTGGCAGAACTCAGTGTGCTGTGTCAACAGTAATGAGCCCAGTGCCAACCACACAGCAGCCACTTCACCAAGACGTATTCAGGCAGCCAGGGGCCCTTGCCTCTCAGGTCTTGTCCCCTTGGCCCATGTCCATCTGGGCTGTAGCTGGGGGTGGACAGAAGACGAAGCATTACCTTATCTTGAATTGTCTCATCTCTCTCCTGGATCTCCCGCTTGAGGCCTTGTATGTCCTTTTCCAGGGACTTAATGACAGCCTGCAGCTTGACTTGCTCTCCTTTCAGAGTTTCAATGTCATTGGTTCGCTCTTCAATCTCTTTCTGCAGGCTGCTGAACTACAGACACAGATGCCAACAACAAAGACCCCTGCAGGCTTTGAGCTCATCTCTGTTCCTCCAGCTCCTATCACTGACCATCAGAACTGAATCACCTCTCCTGTCAGCTGTAAACACCAAACACTCAACATTTTGGCACTTCTGGATGTGAAGTTCTGGAGCATTTGGGACAGTTCAGCAACTTTCCAGGTCAAAAGGCTGGTGGAGTATTGTGTCTGGTAATAACCAGGCCCATGTGCCTATGTGAGGAGGGCCTGTCTTGTCTGCACCAGAGGCTCCTGAGACCAGCTTCCTGAATGGACTCAGGGTCTTCTATGACCACACTGACCTTGAAAGGTTGTAAGCAATGGCCTACCAAGGTCAAAGAGGTTGACCCTACCTGAAGAGGCATATTGGTTTGCCATGCCCATGAAGGGAATTCTTGATTCACTAGTAGTATGATCTCTTAATAGGAAGGAGCATGAGCTTACTTTGAGCTTGGATTGATTCTCTAAGACTAAATGTTTTGGGAAAATTGGCAATTCTACAAGGATCTGAGAATTAGGTCTTCCCTCATTGAACTATAAGTGGACTAAAAAGTTTACACCTGTAAACAAATCCTACACATCCACTCACATCTCCACCTATGTAGTCGGAGCAGGAGCCACCAGTGCTGCGCACACCTCCAGGCTAAGATGTTATCTGTCTCATCCTCAGACTTTATTTGCATTTCTGTCAGACCCTACTTGCCCAGAAGTGAGAGGCCAGGGAGTCAGTGTGCAGGGAGGCTCAGCACCCCTGTGAGAAGGGAAGAGTAGGGCGAGCCAGACAGTGTCTCTTTTGTAGGATGTGGTGGGGGGAGGCTGAGGTGGGTCAGTCGGTATCTGTCGGTGCTGCTCTCCTAACCTGCACACTGGAGGTGGGGCATTTGGTGGGACCTCTGCTTGGCCACCTGTCGAAGCATGTGAGTGTGGCTGTGCAGAGGCTGAGACAGATGCCTTGGAGACAAGACTTAACTCCATCACCAGGAACTCAGAGGGGCTGCTCCTTGGGCAGAAGAGATCCTCGGGGAAACAGTAACCAGCTGAGCCCTTTGTGGTTGTTTATTTGTAATTCAAAGACAGAAGGACAAAAGCATAGAAGAAAAGCATTTCATAACATGTACAGAAATTTTGGTCAGGGGCTGGGGCTGGAATGGAATGGTTTGTCACGTGACACATGTCAACCTAGTTTAAGCCCTCTTAGCGGGGCAGAGGGGACATGACAGCAAAGCAATCAGCTCGATGATGACTTGCTCTTGCTTCTGCTGACTGTGGCCCTGCAGATTCTGCTCTAAACTCTAAGCACCAATTCCAGGAGCGCAGAACTGCTGTTCCCCAAGGTCCCTCCCTTTCCGCACTCAGGTTCAACCACTCGTTTGGCCACATCTCCCCACAGCCACCCAGGGCTAGCTGTGCATGTGGCCCCTGCTTTCTCTGTGACAGTGCCCCTCCTCATCCCCAGGTCTCTCAGGGAACAGCCCTAGTACCTTTTTCCTCATAATGCCTGTCTCCCCCTTGAGCCGTAGGTTGGATTCCTTTTCATCTCGAAGCTTCTTCTCATACTTGGTTTTGATGTCTTGGATTTCTCGGTCTTCATCTTCTTCAATCTGCTTCTTGGTCTCTTCAAACTCACGCAGCTGTTGCCTGACGTCTTCCTGTGCCTGGCTCACAGGGAGGGAGAGAGTGTGGTCATGGGAGCATGGACGCACAATGCCCTTGTACTAGGGAGCCTGGGTGGGACCCGCAGAAGGGCCTGTCCTGGGAAGGGGAGGTGAATGTTATTAGAGAAATGGAGCAGAAGGCTGGAGGTCTTTGACCTGCTCTTTCTCTTCTTGTATCTCTTCCCTCCTGACCAGCTGAAGCCTAAGGCTCCACCACTTCAAGGACCCTCTTAACATTCCTACACCCTGTTTTGTTTCTGTTCTTGACAGTGACATTGAGGCTTCCGATTCTCATGGAACTTGTGATTTATTTTTGACATTAATTTGCAAAATTACTTGCCCAATGAATGGCAGTTCCTTGAGGACTTATCCTACTTCTAAGGCCCACTGTTGAATTCTTAGTGAACAGCACAAGCTGGCACACAGCTATCAATGAACCATGGAACAAATGATGGTGTCTGTCCTGCCCTCCTGCACTTCAGCTAATCCATCCTACCCTTTCTCCACGAATGGGAGGCACAGCCTGGCTTGCCCAGAATACCTCTTCCAGAAGGCTCGTTTTCTCCTGCAGCTTGGCTTCATAGAACTCAGTCAGCTCCTCCAGGGCCTGGCTCTTGGTCTCATCGTTGTCCCGAAGCTGTTTCTCATATTCCTCTTGCATCCTCTGGGACTTGAGCTGAAGCTCCTGGTACTTCTCGTATTCTAGCAGCAATTTTTGGTTGTTGCAACACTCTGGAGAGAGAAGATGATTAAGGGTGATGATTAAGGTGAGTGAGCAGCACCAGCCTCAGGACACCAGGAGCCCTGGGCGCTTTCTTGGCCATTCTACCCCAGCCAGAGCAGCTGCCTCTAGCGCCTAGGGCTTGAGGACCTGCACAGCTTCCTGCCTGACCCTACTCCACGTCCTGTCAGGCAGCCAAACTCCCTATCTTCCCTTCTGCAGAGGGGCATTTGTGGGGCCGGAGCCAAGAAGAAATGTCCTGAATATGTGAAACAGACATGAGTACCTCTGCTTTACAGAAGGGCAAACTGAGGCTTACTAAGGTGACCCCATCCATCTAGCAAATGAGTGGTCAGTCAGGACTCAAGGCAGTTCTTTCTGCTGGCATGCAGCAGCTTTAGGAAGCGAGTGAATATACAGGGCTAAAAACACAGCCAGTTCTGGACACACAGACAATCACAGACTCCAGGACTCCTGCTGTGTGTGAGGGACTCACAGATGTTCACCCCAACTTGCCTCTTTCTCTCACCAGTCACGCTCAGCCCACATAGCTTCTTTTGTGGACTTACCCAGGTCTTGCAGTTCCTGGCTTTGTTTATTTATGAGCTCTTCTACGCGTTCACGGTGATATACATCCTGCTTCTCTTTATCTGTTTTTAAAACCTACAACACAGTCACAATTCCTCAGTTCCATACATCCATTGGAGGCACTACAAGGACAAGAACTAATTGTACAAGTAACACCTTCTTTTGCTCACAAACATTTCTTAAGCCTTTATTTTGCATTAAACATTGTTTTCTAGAGCAACAAACACTCTATTACTTTTTTTTTTTTTTTGCACTATATTCTACTCTGAAAGGTCTATGCTTCCCTTATTTATATCCTTGCAACATGATGAAAACCCAGACTGAATGGGTGTGTCAGTGATGTGTTTTGGATGTGTATCGAGTGGATTTTAAGATACAGTAGGAATGCACCAGGATCTTCTGCTGCCTGCACACTGCTGCCAGTTACCCCTCAGACACATTAACATGTGTGCTGCTTCTTTTTAAACATTTATTTATTCATTTGGTGCAGGGTCTTGCTACACAGCTCAGACTCATAGTGGTCCTCCCGCCTCAGCCTCCCCAGCATTGGGATTACAGGTGTGTGCCACCACGCCTAATTTCAGTGGCTGGCTCAGCATTCTGGGGGCTGGCACAGCATGCTGTACCAGGGATTGAACCCGGGTCTTTGTACTTGCCAGGCAGGTGCTCAGACTGCTGAGCTATCTTCCCAGTTCAACATGTGGGCTTCTCAGAGTCTTCTCTAACTGGCAGGACAACTCCTTGAAGGCTGAGGAGGTGCTGTCACAGACTTAACTTTGGCTTGGCTTATGCAGGGCACCAAATAAATGTTCATTGACTAAACTAATGAAATTATAAATAAGTAGATCAATAAATTTAATAGCCAGTTTTTCTCAAGTACTCTGACCTATTGAGATACCGTAAAAAACAAACAACTCTTGAATAAAATCATAGAGGTTTTTGATGAGGGGCCAGGTGGGTTTGTGCAGCCAAGACTCTGGAAGAGTCCTAGACCAACTCTAACCTAGAGAGACTGCTGAGGATAATTTTATTTAACTGCCTGACAATCTAGGAATCAATATTCTGCTAGTACTTCCCTTTCTATATTTTTTGTGCTATCTTTTCATTTTGTTTTTAAAAGAGTTTGTCCACATGACAAAAGTAATAAATTCTCATTGTAGGAAATTTGGAAAGTATAGACAATTATAAAGAATAAATTAAAATTATCCACAATCCCAATTTCCAGAGATACTTATGTTGTTAGCTGATTTCTGTATTTATTTTACCAAGTGAATACCATTCACTGCAGAGAATTTTGTATTTTACTTTTTTTACTTGTCACCCTATTTAAGCATTTCTGACATGATCAGCTTTGCTTTATAACTGAACATTATTTATACCTTTTAGTTTGGGCTTAGCTTGGGCAATATGGCTGGCCCTGTCCCGAGCAGAGTGAAAATTTCCTATTACTTGTGGCTATTGGTTCAGCCTCTCAAACAGACCTGGTTTTTTGTTTTCAAGGACTCCATTTCCTGGATAAACTTGTCTGTTAGCTCCTTAATTTTCTCAGAATAGTTCATGTCTTTGAGTCGAAGTTGATACTCATTCTCCATTTTTAGTTCTTCCACTCGGGTCTTCAGCTCCAGCATAATCTGAGCCTTTGGGAGAGGGACACAGAATCAAGGGGATTCACAACAGGATGAATCAGAATGTTGAACCCTACAGCCTTGACCTGAGCCCTGCTGCTTTTCCCACCTCAGACATGACGTGTCTCAACTAGAACTTTTCACCCCTTCTCCCCCAGAGGGCACACAGGCTAAAAGTGAGGAGACACAGGAGCTTCTTCTACCCTTACAGCATGCACTCAGTGAGTGCTGCTGCATGCTGGTGGTCTCACTTCAAGCCAGTTTAAGTGTCATCTGCTCAGTGAGGCTCACTTGAACCCCACTGTTTAATCCTGCTACCCCTTCTCATTCTCAGAACTGCCTCTCCTGCTCCTTCCCACTGCTTTTTATCATTCCTTAGATTTTGGCATTTTCTAATATACAACTTACTTATCATTTTGTTAATTCTTTTATCTTTTCTATTAGAATTTAAGCTCCATGAGCACTGAGATCTTTGTTGGTTGTGTTTACTGATGTGCCCCAAGTATCCAAATTTATGTCCAACATATAGTGGGCACTCAGAGGATATTACTCAATTATGATTGTCTCTCCCATGGAATTTACAGTTCACTAATCAGTCAACTAAACATATCATCACAAACTGTGATAAGCCCCCAAAGTGGATGGCTCTCAGTACTGTCAACCCCTCCTCATGTGATTTGTGCCTATGTCAGCCATATCCCTGTTACTTTACTGTACATCCTAACTCTCTCTGCTTCTGGCACTTGTGTCCTGTATCTTCTTCCCCCATTGTACTCACTGGTACCAAAATATTTTTTTTTTAACAAAGATATTACCATTCTCTATACCTATTTCTCATTTCCTAAGAGTTCATGTTGATGACAGAGTGGGTGAGGGAGAGGACACTGGTACTCCCTTTCTGAGCACACTAATCACACCCTATACTTCGCTCTCTCATCTTTGCCGGTCTGTCTCCCCTATGCTGGTGAGCAATTTGAGGACAGGAGCTGGATGTGTCACTGCATCCTGTCCAGCACGGCAGTGTGGACGTGGCATGAGAAAAGCACTGAGATGAGGGATGAACATAAACTGCACATGCAAAATTGGCAAGCAAAGAGAGATGTGGTCTGGTCAAGGCACTCATGTGATCTGGTGCCAGGAGGAGGCAGAGGGAGAGAGGCCTGAGACTTGGGCCAGACCCTCTAGGCCCCTGTAGGTCACATAGGAAGTTTGGATTTTACAGCAGACAGTTTCCAAACGCCCTTATCTAACCTGATTGGGCTGGCTTGGGTGTTTAAGAGCCTCTTTAATGGCACAGTACAGTAGGGACTGTGTTACAGATGGCCTGAAGGCAAGGTAATGAGTTGGGGACAACCATACAGGCCAGGGAAGAGGTGGTAAGGCCTTGAGCTGTTGTGGAGGAGGAAAGCAGAGAATGGAAAGAATGGAGATGGTGAATGGATGTGCGTGAAGGTGAGAGGACTGTGGTTGATGATTTTTCCTCAGAGACATTAGCAGAGGTACTGGTCTTGGGCTATCTCGCTTCATGGCTTTCTTCCCAGAGTGTAGAACAGGACTGGGTACATTTGCACTGATAAATGTTCATCAGAAGAATAAGTGATCCCAGGGTCTGCCTTGTAGTACAGTGCATAATAGGTGGGAATGATCCAGTTTTGACATGTGATGCTTGTAGTACTTGCTCATTGATCATTCTCATTCCCTCTCCATACTGTTGCAGAATGATCTCTCCAAGATGCAAATATTGTCAAGATGCTCCCTAACTTAAACCTCTTAGTGGGCACTTGTGAATAACTTCTGAAGTCTAAATAAAATCCCCTCATGATATCCCTCTGTGATTCTCTCTTCAACAAATTCTCTCTGGCACACCTGTTATTCTGGAGCCATATCTACTGGAAGCATCTTCCCCAGAGCACTCCTCTATTATCCCTCAGCAAACACTCATTCCTCATTGTGGAAAGCCCTTTTCTATTTATTCTGGAAGATTCTGTTCTGCATCACCTGGCATAGGTCAGGGTCCTTTCTGTGTTTTCAGTGTTATTCTTTTCTAACACTTACTGTACTTCTCCACTATAATTTATCAGGCCCCTCTCCCACGTATAAGCTGAAGGACTTCTGTGTCCCTTATTTCTGTAATTTCAGACCTCATGTAGTCTCAGGTACCTAGCAGACCCTCTGTGAATGCTAGATGAATGGATGAATACATGAGTGATGGCTGAATGGGTAAATCCTCAACTCATAGGTAGTTACTTAGGTCACAGAGTCTAAAGAAAAAAAGAGAGCTGAGAAATCTAGGGAATGCGACTTCTAAGAGACAGGTGGAAAAGGGCAGGGAGGGAGCTGTGGATGAGGAATTAGGGAAACTGATAGGGAATAACCAGAATGTAGGCACTTGAAAGCTGAGAAAGGAGGGGTGTCAGAAAGTAAGCAGTGTAAACAGTCAGAATTTCCTGCTTGGTAGCAGCATTGCCAGAAGCTCAGACCATAGCTGTAGGCCTTGGGTTCAGCCTGGCGTCTCCTACTTGGCCTCTTCTACCCTATGTGAATGAAGAAGGAAACAGAGGAGACAGTATTTGTCTGCCTCAAAGAGGCCAGGCTCCCTCTGGCTCCTTTCTTGCTGTCCTCTTTCCTTGCCTTTCAGGGGGCTCCAGGAAAAGCTGGAGGCCATCCACCCTGCTTTGTGGCTGCTTTTGCATCATGGTTCTGTTTTACTTGTCTCTGTCTTCCACTTGACTATGAGCTTTGATCATAGGGCCTGTGTCTGTCCTTATACACCTGCATCCCCATTGCCTAGCTAAAGATTAGATGCCAATAAACCCAGTTAGATTCTTATTTAGTTAGTTATAAGCAGAATATACTTACTGGGGGAAAGAAAGCTCCTGTCTGAGAGAGAGACAGGAGGAAGGTCCTGAGTGGGTGGTCCCCAGGAAGCTGTCTGTTCTAGGGACTTTATGGAGTAAAACCATGTGGTGAGGTGGGTCTAAGGTGGTGGAGAACTTGGGAACTTGCTTAGGTGGGCATGAGGTGGGAAAAAATTATGGTCAACCATAACTATAGTTGGCTACAGTTCACAGGTGCAATGAGATTACAAGCACTATTGCTCAGGTAAAATTGATTAAATCCAGGACCAAATGGGGAAGCGAGTCACATAGCAAGCTGGCATGAATATGGAACAGTGTCTCTTCCTGTTGGGGGTTGGCTTAGTGACACATCTGGGCTCTTTCAAGGTGATTGATACCTATTTAGAATATCAATCGCTGATGCCTATCCCTAGGGAAGTATGTAGCTATATTTGTTTCCTCTTTTGTCTTGAGGTCTGGCCCAGAGAAGAAGAATGTCTGTCAGAGTGTCTGTCCATAGTTGCAAAGTCACCTTGTCTTCCATCTCATCCCTGAAGGCCTGGTTCTGTCTAACTGCCTATAATATTTCTATCTTAATTTAGCTATCTACAACATCACCCCCTCTGAAGAAGTAACCCAAACTGCTCTGCGGGAATCATGGGTGATGACTGCTCTGGCTTCTTCAAGCTGAAAGAAACCCAGTAAGATTCTTTTTTTTTTTTTTAA